GGAGTTTAAGTTGAATCACAAAAAAAATGTCATGAATTCTCTTAAAGCATGTCAACCTTTAATCATATAACAAGCATTTTCGATCTCACACCCTCTTGGCTTCAGCAGTGTGTTTGCTTTCCTCACTCGTTTCTCTTCTCAGGGCCCTTAAGAACAAGTAGAGCTTTCTGGACTGAATATGATTCTTGCCTCATGCTGTGTTGTGTTTGTTGACTGTAGCCTGTTGTGTCCTGCTGGAGGCAAAGACTACTAACATTTCACACATGCCTATGATTTGCACTGCTTACAGCTGCTCAAATCAATCAAATTTGGGGGAGAAAAGGGCCACTCTAAGGCCCAAAAATAGTAGAACATAGAGGGGAGGAGAAAAAACTGAGAAACAGCAGCAGATGTGGATCAAAAACCTCCATCTTCAGTCTGGAGGAGCAGAGTCAGCTGATGTCAAAGGTAAACAGTAAAGCTTTGTGTTAAACATTCCTCCAGTTGGATCAGTTACAATGTGCTGTGTTTTTATACATGACAAAGATTTTAATGGCGTTTCCCCAGACCTCTGGGAACAGTAGGTAGAAAATAACAACAACACTAACAAAAGCTAGTGACATTTGTAATGACATATGGATTTATCACCTCCTGCCCTCCATCTGAATGTTACGCATCATAATAGTCACATAATTGCAGACAAGCTAAAACTTGTTTCTGTTAAAGGTAATCAGAATTGTAATTCCCTTTTCTTATGGAAGTATTGCTTATCTTCATATGAACCAAACTCTTAAAATGTACCTGAACTTTTGAGTCAGATTTTTTCATAATGTGAGAAGTATCACAGGCATCCAAACATCCAAAGGTAAAAGACTAAAACCTAAATGAAGAAGTTAAGACCAAAAGTTACAAAACAATTTTGGATGACCATTTTCGTTTTTGTGACATCTGCTTTATTTCATGTGCAGACACTTTTTCACAGAGAAGATACAGATGTACAGAAATAAAAGAAACAGACGTGAAGAAGGAAAAGGCAACAAAAAATCTTTTTGATGTGACGATAAACTGAGATTGGTTTGAAACAGGAGTTTTGCAGCAGAAGGTTTGAACGAATGCTTTCCTCCTCACAAATGGACTGATGGAGAGAGAGATGAAGCGTGAGAGGAAAAGAGAGGTAGAAGATTAACATACTGTAGGAAACAGGGTTCAGTCCGTCTGTCCATCCTTTGGTTTCATGCTGAGGTTTAAATCTCATCAGTTGGCAGACACATTCTTGCATACACACACACACACACACACACACTTGCACACTCTCTCTGTATTGTTGAGATACACAAGACAGGGAGCCAAAAAGGAGAAAACTGCTAATTTTGATTAAAACTTCCGAAAGAAAATGTGTGTGTGTGTGTGTGTGTGTGTGTGTGTGTGTGTGTATGTGTCGGGCAGAGAAAGAAGCGAGTGACATTTAGTGAATCGCTCTCGGTTTGCATAACTCAAATAAACACACACAGAGAGAACAACACAAACAAACATAAAACTTGTGATGTCAACCTGTGTTTCTGGAAGGCACCATGGCAACTGGTGTCCCTTCACTCCTCTCTGTGTTTCATTTTCTTTTTCTGGCTCTCTTTCTTTCCCCTTCTGTCTTCTTCTCTGTCTCTGTCTGTCCTCTTTTGTCTCCCTCTTTTCTGCCTCCCTCAAACATGTCCCCACCTCTGCCTTTTCTTCTCACTTTTCTCTTTGTGCATGTTGTTCGTCTCTCTCCCTTGTTCTCACCTTCACTCAAGTTTTTCTGTCCCACTTTTTAGGCTGGACCATAGTGGCTGTGTGGCCAGCCCAACAGTATAAACACAGAAGTCTGTCTGAGTGACTGACTGAGTGAGGGAGTGACGTGATCAGAGTGAGTGATGACATGAGTGTTGGTGTCTCACTCTGAAGTTGTCGAAATCCAGCGCTTGGGCAGTGACTTGCAGCGTTAGAAACTAATGAAAAAAGGCGTCCTTTAATGTTGGCATGATACACGGCCAGTTGCCGTTATAGTTTTATGGTGCCTGGCGGCGTCAGGGGGAAATGCAGTGGGACAAGGATGAAAGTTAAGGCTGTGAAAGTCCAAGGCAGGCAGGCGGGCGGGTGCATGGGTCCAACAAACGTCATCTTTCACCCGATAGAGCAGTGTTCGCCTCCTGTAAGATTCTAAAGCCAGACCTGTTCTTTTTCCTAAGCCTAACCATGTACTCCTGTTGCCTAAACCCAACCATATGAGTTTGTTGTCGAAGGGGGAAAAACATTAATTCGCGGTGTTGTACTGACGTAAATTTCTGTATCTTGAAAGAAGGCAATGCATGTAACAGGCAGAACTTGACACAGTGTCCCAGAACGTCAACAACCAATGCACCCAGGGTACCTTGCTCGGCGTACGTGGATGTGGAAAGTGGAAAGCCTCTCTCTTCTTTAAATTTCTCTCCTTCCTCCTCTCCTTTCCTGCACGCTCTTCATCTTCTTCTCATAACGTCCTGCTCTGTCGATCTCTCCAGCCCTGCCTGTGTTACCTAAAACTTTCTTTTCTTCTTCACCACCTCTCTTGTAATTTCCTATGTACCACTGACTCACTATAGAAGCTCAGTAGGGCACATCTTCACCCACTTCCAAGAAAGTCTGAGGCAACACATGTAGTATAAAGGAAAAGTCAGACCAACTTGCTTTAGCTCGTGGCCATCAAAGTACCGGTGACTCACCTCCATGAATAGTGTGTGCCAGGGTCTCGGATTGCGTCATCTGCTGTGAATCACGCTTTTGTCCTATCAGAATTCCTTTGTTGGTGTAATTGTTTTTAAATGCACCCATCTGAGTTCTGACTTAGTGTTCAAGGATCTGTGGAGATTCTCTGCCCTCATATGAGCAGAGAAACCATGAATGGACGCGAGGATTATGCTGATGGATGAGTCAGGACTCTTTTCTGGTAAACACGGGCATCTTCTCGAAATGGATTTGACATTGAAAAGCAACAAAAGGATATGAGAGTGCAAACAATTGGAAAATCTAAAGCAGTTCAATTCATAGTCTAATATTTTCAGCTGGTATTGTTTTCATTTTGTTAAATCAGTGTGTGTGTGTGTGTGTGTGTGTGGTCCTGGTGAAACCTATTGCAGCGAGAACTACAACAGAAGCTGTTTTGAGTATTTTGGCAGGTGTTTATAATATGTCAGTCTGTCTGTCTGTCTGTCTGTCTATGGTTGGATTTTGTCAACACTACTGTGTCCCAACTGTGCAAGATGCAGTCACAAAACTTAACAGGTGTGAAGTTTAGGTCACAATGAAGAATTAAGTTTCAAGATGAGTGTGGTCCAGGTGAGGAAGCAGGAAGTAGTGAGGTGTGACCCCTCACACTGGTCCAGTGTGTAGGGTATAGGGACATCTATTGCAATTGAAATGGGATATCATATTTATAACTATGTTTGCATTAGTTTATAATTACCTGAAAATAAAATTATGTTTTTGTGACTTTAGAATGAGCCGTTCATATCTGCATAGGGAGCGGGCCCTCAGTCACAGAGTCCGCCATGTTGTTCTACAGTAGCTTGGAATGGACACAAATCAAATGCTGGCTCTAGATAGAGCCATTTGCTTTTTTTTTTTTTTTTTTTTTTGCATTTTTGCATTTTCTGCAACTTCACCGCTGGATGCCACTAAATCTTATACAGTGGATCTGTACGTCACGTAGTGTGGCTGGAGTGTTGCCGTTGTAAGTTGGTCTCTAGTTTGAAATCCATCTGTCTCAAAAGCATAGATGCAAGATCTTTAGTGATTTGAGTTTCTCCCTTCATCATTTTTCTTCATCTGAAACCAGGCTCGGTCGCTGAGATTTTATAAATATTGACACAAGAGAGAAGAGAATTTCCACCACTGTCCTATTAGTTGCAGTAAACTTTATTTAAATACACCATGTTCTGGTCCTTGCTATGGTTTTGTCCTAAAATTTATCATGAGCCTGACTTCACTGTTGACATACTAGTCATGTTTTTGGATAGACTAATTTTAAAAATGTATTATTCAGTGTTTACATTATGTATTCATTCAATCATAATATCCATTCAAGATTTTGAAAGGTGCTTTCTAATAAGCTAAATACGCACAGACCTTGGGACTAATTGCAGTGACAGCTCATGGTCTCTAATTGGCCTCACCTGAGAAGGTGTTATCTAAATGTGTTTTGGAATGTCCCTTGTTCCTTCACTTTACCTGATGAAGATCTAAGGACTAACCTTGCGTATTTAACTTTTATACAGTCCATGGTATTTAAATATAATTTATTGCAAGTAACAGAACAGTGAGCGGGTATTCTCTTCTCTTACCTAGAGACATTTTCCTCCTATGTACCTGTCTAAAAGTCATAGAAGGTGTGCATGAGCCTCCACATTCCGCAGATCACTAAATTCTCCACATGCTAGAAAAAAATTGAGATTATGAACACATCGTCCTCTGTGGTAACTTCTGTAGCACCCAGTGCTGTAGATGCTGCTCTGCACCTGCTGAAAGGTTGGAGTCTCTGTTGCTTGCTCAGCAGGTTCTTCAGGTTTGTTTTAAATGTTTATAGTTCATATTTGTCACAGACAATATAAATTGTGCAGATTACACATTGACTGCATGTGTATCTGTGAGTGTGTTTGACTAAGACTGATCTTAAAACTTATTTACCTCATTTTCCACTCAGGTGGACGTCTAGGTTAGGTTACTGACTGTGTGCCGTCGCAGCAGAGCATGCGCCAGATCCAAACTAGGCTAGGCTTTAATGCTCATCATCTAAAGCGAGTCTGCTCTGTGTCCACTCCTCTTAAATGTGCTTTGTGTTCAGTCTAACATGCCTCTGCAGTCCTTTGCTCCTCCCATGTCTGCTCTGTCAAAACAAAATAAAAACAGCTGTATTTAGACATATTGCTGTCTGGTCTGGATTTTAAAGGTCTCCTCAGTGAGTCACAAACTAATTTGCTCTTTCTCTTTTCATTCTCTCTGTCTCCCCGCAGGTGAGCTAGTCGCACCACCCTCAGCTCTACGCAGTGTCTCCCCCTCCCACCTCCCTCTTCCTCAGCCTAATCCCCTCTTCCTCTGCTTCACCCTTTCCTCCCACTTCTTGTGGTAACTACACGCCATCATGTCTCTCTTGGCCTCTCCCACCCACGTCTTCCTCCTGCTCCTCCTCTTCTTCCTCCCCCTGCCTCCTTGCCAGTCAGAGTCCCAGCGCACTGACCCCAGCAGCGGCACTGAACTCCCCCGGGTGGTCTCACCCTCCATGTTTCCTTCCTCCTTCCCACCTTCCATGTCTTCTGGAAACAACACCACAACTGGCAAAAATCTGAAGTGTGAGGAAGTGTCGGTGTGTAGGCCGGGCATCCTGCTGCCCGTCTGGCAGCCCAACCGGCCCGGGCTCGGCGACCAGGTGGCCAGGGCTGTGGTCTACTTTGTGTCCCTCATATACATGTTCCTGGGAGTGTCCATCATTGCAGACCGCTTCATGGCATCCATAGAGGTCATCACGTCACAGGTGAGATTGAGTGGGTGGTGTAGTTAAGTAGGAATCAGTGGGAATATTGCTACCACCATAACTGAATCCTGTGAGTTTAATAGTTCTGATGGAGTTATTGAAGTGAACCTGCAGCTTGTCTAAACAAAATGTTGACTTCTGACTTTTTTTTTTTTGTTGAAAAGTTATATGGATTTTAAATTATTTTAAATTTAAAATCTCTTTAGCTGTATGAGCACTTATTCTTCAAGGAACAAAGTATTAGTTACAGAATTTGTTTGAAAGCACCTCAAGGTGACACAACACTTTATTTGTTAAACATTAATTCTAGGAAACTCCATGTGCACAGATTTGATTGTTTCATACACATCACAGCCTCTAATATTTCCCCCTCTGATGTGTTTTGGCACAGCTGGAGCACTGACTTATATTGACAGAGATAATGGTGCATTAAATCAGCCACGTCGCCCCATCAGCTCTCAAACTTCTCCATAATTGGCAGCAGTTGATTCATAATGTTTGTGAATGGACAGAAGCCATGCTGACCATGCAGCAAACAACTGAAAATAGACTTACTTTATATGAATTCATCATTGTAAGGCTGTGCATGCATGTTTAATCACTCATTAGTGCTTGTTATGCTTAAGGTTAGTGAGAATGTTTGATGTCCACTGAGGAAGTGAAGCTACCAGTGAATGTGTCTGCATCATCATATTGTCTCTTTACAGCAAGCCAGGCCTGATCAGTTCCCTTAATGGGGATTAATATAGATTTCCCTCTCCATGCATTTATCCTGTATGGTAATTGAAATGACCCTCAGCTGTTTTCAGAGACAGAGAAGCAGAGCTGCATATATACCTAAGAGGATGATGGTCATAAGTGTATCTGTTTGGAGTGAATACAGTAGGAACCAGGAAAGTGCACCCAGTAGAGTGCAGAGCTCCGCCAGTTGATGACGGGATGAAAATGGCCACTTTAGACAATTCTTGTAAATCCAGCATTGTGGCATAACTGGACTTTTAAAAGTGTTAACATTGTCTGTACGCTACAACACAACAGAGTTGGAATTAACATCAGTAAACACAATTAAAAAAGACTGAAAAAACAAACCATTAAACTACAGTAGGCTACTCACTTACTGATGGTAGAAGCATGAATATCAAGGAAAATTTTACTTCTGAAATGCTACCAGGGTGGTGTGATGCCATGTAGAGACCAGAACAAAAGTGGTTCGCAGCAGGACAGTGGAGAGCCCAATTGTCCTTCCCAGCTCCCTTATGGTCAAGATGGCAGCGAACATAATAAAAATGGGAGCTAATTCATCTCGTAATGTGCTTAGCTGTAGTGGATCATAATGTATCGGGCTCTGGTTTAAAATAAGATCAAATGTTTCTGTGAATGTCAGTTTGTGTGACACAATGAAGACCAAATGTGGGCTGCAACACTCGGGAAGGCTTGTTGTTTTTAGCCAAGCCGATTTCTGGAAAATTTGGGGCCCCAACAGGCCAGTTAAGAGGAGTGAGGAGTCAGCGATCAATGAAACAGGTTTTTCAACAATTATAAATCAATACAACCACGAGAGGTCATTGAGCATACAATCAAAACACACACACACACACACACACACACACACACGACCAATGCATGATCCCCTCCAGACCTACACCTGGCGGAGATAATTACTGAAGTACAGTTTATCACTCTCAGTATAAAGTACAGCTAGTGTGTGTGTGTGTGTGTGTGTGTGTGTGTGATGGTTCAGGTGTTGAGGTCATGCAGTCATAAGCACTGTAGAAAAAGAGAGGAAGGGTCCCAGGAGGTTTGAACAGAGGCTGATGTTCAGTGTGAGAGAGGAGGGCGAGGACATGTGAAGGTCAGCTGGAGGGAGGAAAGAGGACAGGGAGGACAAACTCTTCATTATGAGGACAGTACAAGTTTAACAAGATTGTTTAACAGGAAAAGGACTCAACATTTACCTGGCACATTTTTCCTGTGGAGTTTTCAGCCATTCAGATGACTCATTTAGATGTAACATTATGTAAAGACATGATTAAAGATTAAACCCCATCTCACCTTAACCTTCATTATGGAGAACAGGAATTGTCTATAGTATGTTAACATGGCTGGCCTCCTGCCATACCCTCCTCTTTTCTTACAGCAAGTGGAAGTGACCCACGACTCTGCTCATCACTCACTGTACTGATCAGCTTTACATTTATAAGTTCAGTTTCTTGCTTTTAAAGGTTTATTTTTAGTTCACCTCAGGAAAAGTCGCTCTATCTCACTTTATTCAGTGGTCTGTGAATGTAGTTTGAAAGTAGGATCGCTAACACTCAGAGGTGATAGAGAGAATAGCAGAATGCAAAGGGGAGATGAATAAATAGAAACAAAATAGTTAATGGAGGGAGGTGGGTGTTCATCCATCCTTATCAGGGTCAAGGTAAATGGATGTCCTATTGTGTATCCCACAATCCATCACTGTGGCAGACAAAACACCTCAGCTCTTTTGGTTGGTTCAATACACACAGTCAGTGAATAAACAGCATATAGTGATGAATACAGCAGAGACAGAGAGATAAATATGTCTTTATAATGATAAATGTGGACAGCAGGCAGCTCTGGGAGACTGTTTGTCATTACAGAGTCACAGGTTTGATCCCACAGCAACTATTTGTCACAGTGTCCTTGAGGAAGATGCTGAACCCTTATTCTCCTGATGATTCTAAACATGATATTTAATGTAGTATTTCAGTATTAAATAGCAGGTTAAGATTCACAGTCTTTTCTTGTTGTTATCTTTGTTGCTCAGCACTCAGCTGTGTTGCCTCTGCAGCGGTTCTTCCAGAGATCAGCTGTCAGTCAGTCAACGTTTAAGTTTCTCTTCTTTTGGTGAAGTAAATATTACTTTTTATGTAACATATTATAACATAATATTACTTAAATTCAGCAGCTAAGTATTACTATTAAGACTACAAGGTACATAACGTGTGTTTTTCTAAATCTAAACCATTAATTTCATACAACAAATGGTCTAAGACAGGAATACTCAACTTGTTTACCTCAGGGGCCACTTCTGCAAAATGAAAGGAGGCAGGAACCAGCCAGTAAACAAATAAAATTAATATATAAAAAACTTAGACCTCTGTCAGGGGTTCCTGGTGATTCTCCCCTGGCACTTTTTTTCTTGATAAACAAGCTGTTTTTTGATGCTTTTTTATGCTCTCTGGCACCTTATGTCCATTCAAAGTAGGGCTACCAAAAATACCAATGTGAATTAACTCATTGTTAATGCTAATTAGGAAGTGGTCAGCGGGCCACCCAGCGCCCTGTTGAGGGACAGATTTGGCCCACGGGCGATAAGTTGAGTATCACTGGTCTAAGAACAGTTGGAGGCTCACCTGGTCCTCACAGCTTTTTACCTTTACATTTTAGGGTTTAAGGGATTTCAATCATTCTGGATGATTAGACCTCCTCTCAGGTGTGTGTGTATGCAGACTGTTTGATCCTCTCACTCTCCTGTTAGCTTTGTTGCACCTGTTAGAGTGGAATAACATTCACCTTTTCAGTTAATCTGGTGACCTGAGGTAATGAGTTATAAAGCTTGGCTCACCTTCAACCCGAGTAGAGGTCCAATCAGCCAAAAGAATTGGACACACCTGTGGGGGTGTGCAGGGAGTTAAACTTAGAGTTCAACATGGGAAATAATTTACAGTTTGTCAGAATTAACGTTTGCATGTGTGTGTTTGGACCAACAGGAGAAGGAGGTGACTATCACGATGCCTAACGGGGAAACATCAATGGCAACGGTTCGAATCTGGAATGAAACAGTCTCCAATCTGACACTCATGGCTCTCGGCTCCAGCGCTCCAGAGATACTGCTGTCTGTTATAGAGGTACACACATACACACACACACACTCCACTGTGTCTTTGTGTGGATTCATCGATGCCACCACCACCCTCTCCCTGCTCTTCTCTCTTGCTCCTTTCATCTTCATTATGTTTCATTTCTTTATTCCAAAGCAGATTTCTTCTCATTAGTTTTTATCTGTATGACTTTAATATCTCGAGACTGGTTTAACATTTTCAAAGCAGAGCGATAATTTTGCATCACATTTTAAAACATAATGACTGCTCAGTTGGCAAAACAAACCATGTTGTGTTTGACAATTACCTCCCTGTCTTTTGTTTGTTTCGATGCTTGTCATCTTAATCGGTCTCCTCCCTCCCCTCCTACTACAACATCACACACACATACACACACTCTCTTCAGGTGTGCGGTCACGACTTCAAGGCTGGTGAGCTGGGACCAGGAACCATCGTCGGCAGCGCCGCCTTCAACATGTTTGTGATCATTGGGATCTGCGTGTGGACGATCCCCGAAGGCGAGACCCGCAAGATCAAACACCTCAGGGTGTTCTTCATCACCGCCTTCTGGAGCATCTTCGCCTACATCTGGCTCTACCTCATCCTTTCTGTCATGTCGCCGGGCGTGGTGGAGGTGAGTGTGGTTTGGAAGGAAAGAGGAAAGAGTGACAATGTTTGTCTGCACAGTCAGCATTAAGGCACAAAGGAAATCCATGGTACATATTTTTGCTTGGTTTCTATTCTGACTTTACTTGATAGATTATTGCAAGAACTGGGATACAGAGATTATTAAGACCTATCCATAGTAATGATGTTGTCTTCATTGGACTCCATCCTCTCTCTCAGTTTATGCCACATTACACCAGAATTACACCACTTACGATTTTACCTGCAGCCACTTTCAGGAGCTGTATGCCCAAAGGGATGTGACATTTTACCTTTTGATGATGTTTAAGATGATCAGGACAATTTCTGTGTGTGTGTGTGTGTGTGTGTGTGTGTGTGTGTGTGTCCCAGGTGTGGGAGGCCCTGGTGACCCTGCTGTACTTCCCAGTCTGTGTCATCCTGGCTTGGATCGCCGATCGCCGCCTGCTCTTCTACAAGTACATGGGCAAGCGCTACCGTGCCGACAAGCGCCACGGCATCGTCGTGGAGACCGAGGGAGACTTGACGCCCAACAAGGGCGGCATGGAGATGATCATAGATGGCAAATTCCCATCACGAGGGGGTGCCGTGGTCCCCGCCGAGAACTGTGGAGGTGGAACTCAGGATGGCCCAGCGGGCGCTGCAGCCAATAACATCGGCGCAGGGGCCAACCTGCCCAACTCCAACAGCGCAATGGTCAATGTGGAGAGCAGCAAGGAGCTGGATGAAAGCCGCAAAGAGGTGAGAGAGAGGGAGAGAAATTATAACATAACCAATAAACTTCAGCTTATCAGCAGTGATTGACAAGACTACTCATCAACATGAATTCAGCATCAGATTGTTTACAGAGGGTGAAATGACAAAGAGAGAGAAGAAAGCTTTTAATTCACACATTAGCTGTAAAATACATTCAGAGATGCTGTTATCACTGCAGAATGTGCTCTATAAGTCTGTAATCTCATTTCCCAGGTTTTGTGTTGGTGACAAAACACAGTTAACACAGAAAACACAATTTCTGCTGTCAGAATTATGACATGATGTAAGAGCAAAATAATGGATCATTTTCCTGCAGAAGTTGCTGTCTCCAGCTGCGATGAATGGCTCCAGTTCAGATTTCCATTTACTAAAGTGATGCATGCTTTGTTCTGTATTTAGTGATACCAATTTGTATGTAAATGTTGTTCCTCTTTACTTGATAGATAAGTTTACACAAAAAGCACTTAACCGTCTCAAGCAGATGCAGAGGGAGAAAGGTTACATTAGCCACATTTAAACTTGTTAATAGCCAAACAGAGATCAGTTGTTTTACCGCTGAGGAGAAGAAAGAGAGGAAGTGAGACAAGCAGTCTGATAGTTAATGACAGAGAGAGGGAGAGAAGAGAAGAACGTGTGGGTGGTTTGACGGACAAAGATGAAAATACGATAATGAGGGTCAGAGAGGTTGAGGAGGAACGAGACACACAGGGAGAAACATCCCCAGGATGAAAAGTGAGAAGGACAGAATGAAAGAGACGAAAGGAGATGAAAGACAACAAGGTCAGCAGCTCATGTCCTGTGTGGATGCTTCAGACAGGATTGTTTCTCGACCTGCTTACTCATTTGCATTTTTCTTCCACAAAATTTTTGGAAATTAAGTGAAAATATGCATTATATTTGGATGAAAACTGACTTACGACCAAATAGAAGTTCTTTTTTGGCCCGAATGCTGTCATGCACAACTACACAGATATTATCCGCCCGCTCACTCAAAATGTTAAATCCAGTCTTGCCAGATGAAGTCATCCAGTTTTTCAGCCACAGAATATTAAAAAAAAAAATCTGACTTTTGTTGCAGAAGTCAGACACATCTTCAGATCTTAGCATTTCACTCATGTTGGGTACCACTGATGCCAAAACAAGGGGAACAACAAGACTTTGCACACAAGAAGGCACCACTGACTCTATTATCATGAATCAAGCAGCACGGCCAGTCAGGTGCTGCCAAGTACGCCGGGGAAGTGCCAAACACACTTGTGGTAATTTTGTGGCCAGGCTCCCTTGGTGCACCTGTGACAGAAAGAAGGCATTATTACTGTGTGACAGTCGTGGCTTATTACATTCAGCTCTCCCCATCATGAAGCAACGACAGTTTGGGAACCCTGCATAAAGTTTTCCACAGAGGAAACTTATTGTTGTCTGGGATGTAAGATGAAAATTAGTTTTAAACTTTATCACATCATGTTGCTCCTCACAGCGTCACATCTACCTGTATTGAAAATTAAAGATGTGGGGCTACAGGCAACCCTTTTGGCCAGTCTTGTTTAAAAAAAGATGATGCACAGCTGTTACCCCAATTAACTGGTGTTTAGGATGGATTCAGCAGGTAAAGACTGACAGGAACAGATGGCCCTGAGAGAATTATAAGTGGAGCAAGAAGTTTAAAGAAATTTCACAATTTTTTGTGAAGCTCTGTGAACTGTTTTCAGTGCATTTGGTTTCCAACACGCCTATTGATGTGCAGAGGAAACTGTGTAGAATAATTCATCAAGTCAACATGTTTGAAGCACACATGAGCACTGAGGGCCTGTGGTTATTTGACAACAGTCTGATATTGGTTGAACAAAAGGTAAGCAACCCATCTACCGTGCTTAATTATGGTTTGACAGTGTACAACATCATGCACCAGAGAACACAAGTGTTGATATTGAAAAGAACCCTTTCCAACATATGCAAGTTATTATAGCGATAACTACCATGAACAACCTAAACTCTGAACATGAACAAATGTTCAAATTGTTGCCCTTTTAGATGCTAAAACTTTTAGCTTTTAATTGATTGACCATCTGCAGTATCTGAACTTATATTTTCTGAGTCAACCTTGAATTTTTTGGATGCAGCTAAACCTTGGCCTAAATCTTCTGGTAGGTCAGCTTATCATTTTATTTTTCAAAATTTAAGAGATTTTTTTTTTTTGCTTTTATCCAGTTGGCTCTCTGCATCCTAACTTTTTGGAAACAGCATTTTTTTTATCAGCCCACACATCAAACCAAGCCATCACTCAACACATAAAAAGCGGTTATTAGCCAATAGGATTAACCTTTTGAAAGTTTGAAAGCATTACAGAAAGTTTTTGTTGAGCTGGAAGCTGAAGCATAATTTCCTCCAGTCTTTCTCCCCTAGCTAAAGAGACAGAAAGTTCAACACTCACAGTGTTTGTATGAACAGCCATGCGTGCTGTCAGTGTGTGTGGTTTCGATATTTTAATCATGAGCATGTCCTCTCGGCCCTCCTCCAGGTGATTCGTATCCTGAAGGAGCTGAAGCAGAAATATCCTGACAAGGAGCTGGACCAGCTGGTGGAGCTGGCCAACTACTACGCACTGCTGCACCAACAGAAGAGCAGAGCTTTCTACCGTATACAGGTAACACACACACACACACACACACACACACACACACACACTATTCATAAACAGTCCCTGAAGTGAACACACAAGGTTGTCTACAAAGTAGTTCAAAGACTTCTTCAGCTGAGTTTTTGCAGCTCATTTCAGACTCAGCTCATGATGAAAATACAAATAGTTTATGAGCATGAATGAAAGTTTCAACAACAACTGTAACTGTTTTTTCCCCACATGCAATAATCACAAACAGTGTTGGAATGTAACTGAGCACATTTACTCAAGAGCTTAAGAAGAAGAAGAATACATCAGTGAGTAGAGTCAACTGGGGAAATGAAACATTAGGGGAGAGGGGGATATCTGGGGTTGGCAAGTCTGACAAGGTGGGTTTTAAGGGCCTTTTTGAAAGCTGACAATGTGGGATATTTTTATGTGGTGTGGTAGTGAATTCCACAGAGAGGGGGCATCAGCTGAAAACACCCTGTCACCCCAGGTTAAGCTAAGGTAGAAATTCAAGGTACTTGTACTTTACTTGAGTCTTATCTTCTCATGCAACTTTCTACTTTTGCTGTGTCTTTAATCCAGTACGGAAAAGTACATTTACCCAAGTACAATGCTTTTAGTTACTTTTCATTTCAACCACTTTTTACTTAGGGCTATTGTAAGTAATAATGATAATAATAATGATACTACTACTACTACTACTAATAATAATAATAATAATAACAATAATATGGAGCAAATTGAAATTGTAAAATTACAAGATAAAAACTGAGATATAATCTGAGATTAATGTGGTAAATTAACAAGAAAAAACTCACAGATGTACAAAGCAATAATAATATTCTCTGAGATTATAAAGTCATAAATTTGTGGGGGATTTAAGTTACATACAGTACAGGCCAAAAGTTTGGACACACCTTCTCATTCAATGCGTTTTCTTTATTTTCATGACTATTTACATTGTAGATTCTCACTGAAGGCATCAAAACTATGAATGAACACATGTGGAGTTATGTACTTAACAAAAAAAGGTGAAATAACTGAAAACATGTTTTATATTCTAGTTTCTTCAAAATAGCCACCCTTTGCTCTGATTACTGCTTTGCACACTCTTGGCATTCTCTCCATGAGCTTCAAGAGGTAGTCACCTGAAATGGTTTTCCAACAGTCTTGAAGGAGTTCCCAGAGGTGTTTAGCACTTGTTGGCCCCTTTGCCTTCACTCTGCGGTCCAGCTCACCCCAAACCATCTTGATTGGGTTCAGGTCCGGTGACTGTGGAGGCCAGGTCATCTGCCGCAGCACTCCATCACTCTCCTTCTTGGTCAAATAGCCCTTACACAGCCTGGAGGTGTGTTTGGGGTCATTGTCCTGTTGAAAAATAAATGATCGCCCAACTAAACGCAAACCAGATGGGATGGCATGTCGCTGCAGGATGCTGTGGTAGCCATGCTGGTTCAGTGTGCCTTCAATTTTGAATAAATCCCCAACAGTGTCACCAGCAAAACACCCCCACACCATCACACCTCCTCCTCCATGCTTCACAGTGGGAACCAGGCATGTGGAATCCATCCGTTCACCTTTTCTGCGTCTCACAAAGACACGGCGGTTGGAACCAAAGATCTCAAATTTGGACTCATCAGACCAAAGCACAGATTTCCACTGGTCTAATGTCCATTCCTTGTGTTTCTTGGCCCAAACAAATCTCTTCTGCTTGTTGCCTCTCCTTAGCAGTGGTTTCCTAGCAGCTATTTGACCATGAAGGCCTGATTGGCGCAGTCTCCTCTTAACAGTTGTTCTAGAGATGGGTCTGCTGCTAGAACTCTGTGTGGCATTCATCTGGTCTCTGATCTGAGCTGCTGTTAACTTGCGATTTCTGAGGCTGGTGACTCAGATGAACTTATCCTCAGAAGCAGAGGTGACTCTTGGTCTTCCTCTCCTGGGTCGGTCCTCATGTGTGCCAGTTTCGTTGTAGCGCTTGATGGTTTTTGCGACTCCACTTGGGGACACATTTAAAGTTTTTGCAATTTTCCGGACTGACTGACCTTCATTTCTTAAAGTAATGATGGCCACTCGTTTTTCTTTAGTTAGCTGATTGGTTCTTGCCATAATATGAATTTTAACAGTTGTCCAATAGGGCTGTCGGCTGTGTATTAACCTGATTTCTGCACAACACAACTGATGGTCCCAACCCCATTGATAAAGCAAGAAATTCCACTAATTAACCCTGATAAGGCACACCTGTGAAGTGGAAACCATTTCAGGTGACTACCTCTTGAAGCTCATGGAGAGAATGCCAAGAGTGTGCAAAGCAGTAATCAGAGCAAAGGGTGGCTATTTTGAAGAAACTAGAATATAAAACATGTTTTCAGTTATTTCACCTTTTATTGTTAAGTATATAACTCCACATGTGTTTCATAGTTTTGATGCCTTCAGTGAGAATCTACAATGTAAATAGTCATGAAAATAAAGAAAACGCATTGAATGAGAAGGTGTGTCCAAACTTTTGGCCTGTACTGTATTTACTAGAAAAAACTTGACCGGTGGAAGCTACTAGATCTTTGGTTAATAGACAAAATGACTAATTGATGCACAGATTTGTATATATTAGTACACAAGTTGAATAAATAAAATGTGTGTCACAGCGGGGACAATGGGCTGTTAGTTTGCCTGTGAATGAACAAATAACGTGAATTGATTTGCGACTCAATCGTAGCAAAATTATGTTTTAATTGAGGAGTATTATATAAGAATCATGCTAAGATAACTGTAATGAAATTAAAATGTGTCTGTGTCATGCACAAACCAAAGCTGCTCTCTAACAAAAGATAACTCATCACAAGTTGCACCAATTGCATACACTTCCTGGCTCCTAAGTGGCCATGATCGTCTATCCCCTGCCTCTCCTGCCTCATTTTGAAGTGTTTTGAAGGTGGTGTGAATGGATCAAAGCATATTCAAAACATTTACAATATTTACAGTACATATTTAATGTATGTTCCTTATTATGCATCTGCTAGCTTAATATTTGTTATCAACTGAATACAAGATCACATCATCTGTTGTGTGTTACTGAGACAGAGACAGGTCTGGAATAATGTTAATTTTCTCCTGATCTGTGAGTCGGAAAAATTCCACTTCAGTGCCAGGATGTTTAGAGGATTTGGAGCTTGTGAAAAATGGGTCCAATATTTACCTCAGTGACTTTGGGGCAAAAGAATCGCTCATCATCTGTGCTCACGTTCACTTCTCCCGCTGAATGAGGAGAGAAGTGGGTAAAGGGGAATTTACACACCCAAATATAAACCTAATGAATACAGATAAATATCTTACATAAATAAACACATTGTTGGTCTAATTTAATACAAAGTACAGCTTATTATATCTTATTAGTGTACGGTAAAATAAAGTGTGACCGTGACGGTGTTTGTGGTGGGATGAGGTTGATCTAGCCTTGCAAAGTGAAGCAACTGTTCCTTGACAAATAAATTAATTAATTAGAAAATACATATGAGTTTTTCTCTTGTAAATTTGTGACTTTAAACTCAGAGAATATCTGAATTATTTTCTGACAAATGTATGACTTTATAATCTCAGAGTTTTTTTATCAGAAGTAAAATTAGTAAGACCCTCTTTTACATTAATGCATTACATATAATAATCTAATGATAATATAAATAGTAGTACAACAGTCACAGGGGACATTTTTATATCTTTAATGCTTGAACTACGTGTTCCTGATTATACTTACATACTTATACTTGAGTAACAGCAGTGTGGAATTAGTACTTCTGCTTAATTAAAGGATCTAAACACTTCCTCCATCACTGGAAACACATTACATTGAGGAAATTCCTGCCTGTTTCTTGATTTCAGATGTGAAGGAAATTAGGTACTTTCTGTTTCTTAATGCCTCCCCCTGTCTGTCTCCGTCAAGGCAACTCGAATGATGATTGGAGCTGGAAACGTCCTGAAGAAGCACGCAGCCGACCACGCTCGCCGCACAGCTATAACCGACGAGGAAGCACCAGAGGAAGACGACATGGGGATATGCAGCCGCATCTCATTCGAAAGCGCCCACAGTCAGTGCATGGAGAACTGTGGCACTCTCACACTGACTGTAGTCTGCCAAGGTACTGAAAGAAATAAGTTAATATTGAGTTCATACAAATGAGTTAAAATAGGCTGAGACTGGTGTCTGTGCTTTAACATAAATGCTTACATTTGAATTAAATTTCTATCCAGCATTGATCTGTTCAGGTTTTATTCTCTGAGCTCATCAGATCATTTTCTGCAATCTGAACTTGAAGCCATAACTGATGTGTGGTTACTCATTTTAACACACACCGCACTTCTCCTTTAAAGGAGCAGTGTGTAGTTAGCACACTGACAGTTAGCAGTGAGGATTGCAAATGAAACCACCTGAAACGTCTCCCGTATGCCAAGCATGGACTCCCTGTTAGGATTCCTTCACTGTTCATTGTTCAGGAGATTTTTACCAGGAACTGAATCATCCACAGAAGTCTCTTCCTCTCCAAAACAAACAAACCATGAGTCTCATTTACAGCAAAGTTGTGATCTATAAAAACAAACTTGACGGGAGAATGTGCACAACTCTACAGAAACTCTGACCCATGCACACAAACATTTTTTGAGGCAGGGGAAATTGGGGAAGCAGATTGTGAGGTGATGAATTGAAACCAGATTGTGGAAAGTAAATGTGAGAGGAATCATTCTGCCTATAATGATGCCTCTCGCACATTTAATTTCACTTCATATCACACAGTACTTACAGATCCACTTTATTTTTTATTTATTAATATTCAGTCCAGCAGTTTTATTTGTGCTAGTGAGCCTTAACCTTTCCATAAACACCTTACAGTTATAAAAATTATAAGCCAGTTCAAATGTCAAATCAAATTTTGCTCAGTATTCATCAGCGCTGTCTCACCACCATCATTCACTTGTGGTCAGCTGTGGAGCGCACTGCAGCTGTTGGATTGCACACATCAAATAGTATTAAATAATTGCAAAACAGAGCATCAGCAGTTTTCAATAATATCTTACAATACTGTAAATATATATCACTTAGTATGCTTTTAGTTTTCATATTGATGTGTGTGTAAAATTGCTGCAGCAAACATGACTGTGTGTGCACAGAGAGCACTGGAGACATCGCATTAGCTGACACACATTTTTCTTTGTCCAGCCACCTTGTATAGCTTCATAATGCAGGCCAAGCAGCCATTGCAAACTTAAGTAAATAAATAAAGAAAGAAATTCTGTTCAACTAACAAATTTTAATTTTTGAATGGTATCCCAGGATCAGGGATACCACAGATTGTCACTGTCATCTTGGCAGGGTGTGAGGCAGTCAGTCTAAATGCTATAAACATATAAACACAGTGGTTTCACGTTAAAAAATCATGTTTTTCCACTGCTGCTTGTTGAGGAGCGGCCAACACGAAAAGGCATACGGCCCCATCTAGAGCCAGTGTTTGGTTTGTCTGTTCTGGGCTACTGTAGAAACATGGTGGTGCAATATGGCAGACTCGGTGGATGAGGATCTGTTTCCTGTGCAGACATAAATGGGTCATTTTAAGGTAACAAAAACACAATGCATTTTATTTATAGGCACTTTTTAGAGCACTCAGGGACACCTTACAAGACACAGTAAAAAATGTATCCATAGATTATGAAATCAAACAATTCTGCACTATACAATGAGTTTATTAAAATGACTAGACAAAGAAAAAACGTAATTATAAATACTTGGAATAAAATCATCATCGTAAAGTCATCATCAGTGCAGGTCACCATATGTGTGTCTCCATTAAATTAGACCGAATACGCCAGCTTGAAAAGGTGTGTTTTCAGATGGGATTTAAAAGTGGAAAGAGAGTTCAGAGAGAGGCAGGACAGCTTAAGGCTTTAGAACCCATGGTAGTTAAGCAGGCAGATGGTGAATTCAGTTATTATACACTAAAGAAAACTTATTATATTATGTTCCACTTCTGCCAATATATCCTCTAAATCCTACACACTGGACTTTTAAATATAAGTAAAAGTCCTGCAATTAAAAATCATAAGTACTACTTAAATCACTGTATTAATTGTAGGGTAGTTTTATCTATAACGTAAGAACACGTCATACATGTATCAGGTTTTGGATTTTCTAAGTGGAGTGGAGTTTAAGTATAAAGTAGGAGAAAATGGAAAGCATAAGTAGCTTTACTGTACTCTCCACCACTGAATTAAAGACTGCTTCACCGTTTCCACCGCAGGGATGGACACTGCTACTTTATTTGTGTTTTAAAAGTAAAGTCTCATTAGGTCTAATTTGAACTACAGAGTTTATCTACAGTCCTCCACAAAGGAAACTTCCAGCAACAACTTTATTATGATAATGAGAAGCACATTTACTTTAGAGTTTTATCAGGATCAATAAAATTCGACAGGGTTTTATAATGTGCTCAGTGCATAACAATCTCGTCATAACTGAGCTGTAAACATTACAGCTTGTTTGTGTTAAGTTTTTATACAGAGATGCATAATGTCCGATACATTTTAATGAAGGATGATGATGAATTGTTGTATATCCAGCATTATTCTGTGTTATTCCTGCTGTTTAGGCGGTCTGGGAGAGAACACCTTCTACGTGGACTACAGGACAGAGGACGGTTCAGCCAACGCTGGGTCGGATTACGAGTACAGCGAAGGAACACTGGTGTTCAAACCTGGAGAGACTCACAAAGAGATTAAGGTGAGTGAAGAGGAGTGGGAGACGAGGAAGAAGAGAGAGATGATATTTAGACACAGTGGGAATAGACAGACACATTTTAACACTGGGCACTAAAACCACCACAAACCACCTAAAAGACAAGACCTGATCCTGTACTGGTCATCAACACAGGAAATGTTTAGGATGACTCATTTTCACTCAGATTGTTATACTCTGCTGGAGAGGAGTTCACAAAATGAATAATTAGCTGACAAATTTACTGCACTTGAACCCATCCCATAATAATCGGGGTGCTCTAATTTCAAACAATGCAAAGTAAATGTGGTGAACATTAGGCCAGCAGAATAACTTGAACTCCATTATATCAGATTCCTTTAGGGAACATTATAATAAAATACACAATATGGGCATATGGTATTACCCAAATGACACAAAGCTGAATGTATTTTAAAATTTGAGGCTTTTGAGAAAACATTCAGAGATGAAACCCCGGGAGATTCGCTGTGTTTCTCTGTTTTACATCATTTGAATATAATTCTCTTTGCACTGTCGGTCACATAAAACAAGACATTTGGAAAACTTTCAGCTTTTGGAAATTGTAATAGCTATTTTTCTGTTTCACTATTTTCTGACTGACTAGACCAAATAATTAATTGAGAAAATAATCATCACATTAGTGGAAACCTTATTGCATAAGCAGATATTGTAGGAAATTAAATGAAAACAATGTCAGTGAATGTTTTATAAGTTCAGCATCAACATTTGGGACTTGGCAGATTCGCTTATTAAACAAGTTAATTATGTTGTTAAGGATTGTAATTCAGCTGGCACCAAGTTTATCACACAGCAAATGTGCTGTTGCAAATTAGTCTCAATATTATATTAGTTAATATAGTTTTTTGTCTGGTCTGTATTCGGTTGTGACAGCAGAGCTTGTAAAAGAGGAGATTTACATAAATATTTGATCTTTTCAGATAATTATTGATTCGGACTACCTACTTTTTCTTTTGTTTTAAAGATTGATTATATAACATATCCATATTCTGTCTTTTGCTCTGTCTTTGTAAAACCTGTTCAGTGTGTGATTCAACCCAAACACTTTTAAAGTCCTGCTTCTCCGCTGCCCTTCACAATGTCAGGTTTGGGTATAATCTGACGGTAAGGGGAGCGCACTATTAAGAAATAAGTCAAGTTTTTTGGAGATAAGATAAAACTTTAATAATCCTTGTGGGGAAATTGAAGAAGCAGACTATCATATACATAATGAAACAGGATATCTGTCAGTTCATCCCGAAAGCTCTGAGCTCAGAGTTGTCTTTGCTGAAATAGTGGAGGTAAAGCTGATACATTTTTACCTCAGGCAGCCTCTCAAACACAGAAGCCAGCTTCACACACACTAAGTTAGCATCTAACCAAATGTGGTGCTGGAGGAGCTCTGGACTGAGACCAGTTCTTTATGGAGCGGCATAAACATGCTGCAAGCCTCTGAGTTAACCTGCAGTGAGGCTGTAAAATGTGGAAAGATATCCGAGGAGATCAGAGCGAGGAGGGAGAGGGGTTGAATAATGAGAGTCCCAGCAGGAGAGACAGAGAAAGGTGAGGAGAGGCAGATGTAGAGGTTGAAGGAGAGGAGAAGAAAAATACTGCTGTTACTAAACAAACTACTACTAATCTCTGCTGCTACTTCGTTAGCTAGTACTTAACTGTGTGAACCAGAAAGCTCCCCGCAGGTATAAAACACAGAGGGCAACTTTCCCCCTCTCTCTTCGCTTACAGTTTACCATGAGATTGATAATGTAATAGCTGCCATAAATCTTTCCATTTAAACACTGATTAGCATGGTGTTTGTTTCTATTAATTCAAACAGGAAGCAGTTAAAGATAGGGTAGGCTGTTTCATTTTGGCATCAGCGGGCAAAAATCCCATAATAAACTTTGAGCATATTGTAATTTAAGAGGACTGAGAGAACACTAGACTTCTGCACCTCATCCTGGCTTTGTTTTCAGGCTTTAGAAAATCTAGCTTGTGACGAGAGAATTTAGCCAATCAGATGCAAGCATCTGCACAATCCAAGCAGACGCACACGCGTGTCCCTTCAGGCAGTGGAAGCCTGGTTCAATGGCGGAGATTCCTGCAGAGAAAATTGCTATTCCAGCATTGGCAACAACTGCCTACACTGCAGAGCAACCCAAAAAAAGAAAGACGGACTTATCAAAAAGAGAATGTGACAATTAACGACAAAATACGTGTCAATATCAGCGTAGTGTTTCAGAAATGAGTGAAAATGTTGCTAATATATTAGCCTTGTGCTAATCGGAGCCAAAGGCCCGACAGCTGCAGCTTCAAGTTCACATTTTAGAGCGCGTTCAGGCCGCATTTTCCTGACAGAACCTGACCTGAGTCCGAGACAATTATAACTGAGCCCGGCCCAAACCCAACAGCCTTTCTGATTTTTAAAAGCAGTTTGATACCTGACAGTTATTGTTTTCATGGTTTCACTTGTCTGTTTACTGTAATCACACATGGACGGTGTGTAAATGACCATCAAAAGGCTGCTGTTACACACACAGCAGCGCATCACAGCACACACAAAACCAACTGCTTTGTTATCACCTGCATTGACGACTAAATCAAAATGCCTCCATACCGCTGGTTTCTCTGCATGGTTTTCAACAGTTTTAAACTTTCTTTATAGCAAGTTTTGTCTAGCATCCTCCATTTTTATTAGTACGGTCTGAATATTTATCCCCTCCTGCCTGAAATATAACTATTGGCCTGTGTTGCATTCAGGCATTGTCACGTAAATAACAAATTCCAGCACTTGAATAGGCCATAGCACAACACAGCAGCATGTCAAGTGGGCTGAACCTGACCCTAACCCTAGCAAAATTTGGGATTTATTATCCAAACCTGGCCCGTCGGGCTCGGGTTGGGTATCCACACTCTACTCTCCCTGCTGCTACAGACCACCTCACCAGGAGGAGAACAGCAGCAGCTCTGGAAACAGACCAGCAGTCTGTGTCCGTAGCAACACACATCCAGCCAGCGCAAACCCCTGCTCCAGGGGAAAGGACAGCCCTGAGTCCAAGCCAGATCAGTTAACATTCTCGAGCTACTGTTAACAGGTTAGACCTGGCGCTGCTGCTGGCCACCAGCTCGCAGTGATACCCTGCACTATGGGGTTTGCGCTGGCTGAATTTGAGTGGCTACAGCCACTAACTCAAGGTCCATTTCCTGAGCAGCTGCCCACTGTCCTCCCTGCAAAAGCAGTCCACAGCAGCAGGGAGCGAGGTGGAGAGACAGTGGGGTGGTGAGCAGCTAATTATTGTTTTATTTGTGGGCTGATAAACAGGGAGATCAGGGCAAAGAGGGTCTGAGTGAATACGCTATGTGCACGCTATGCACGCTAATACGCTATGAAATAAGATCAAATTAATCAATGTATGGGAAACACTGGGTTACCGTATGAAGCGCTTGTGTATGCCCGTGATCATCTGGTGGGAGGAGGGTGTATTTGTTTGTCTTTGTCTTTTTTAGATTCCTGAATGAATAAAACTTTTTGCCACGAGAGGAATTTACTTTGCAAAATTTGCAGAATTTAGCATAAACAAAGTATCAAAAACACATCAACTATAACATAAAACAAAAAAATAAGAATCACAAAAACATCATAAAACAATAAAGAAAAAAAACAAACATCATCATTGAGATATTGATGAAGGACTTGGTCAGAGTTGTTAAGCAGCTGAATGCTATGTGATGTCTCTGTGAGTCTGCATCCTAGGCATCCTCCTCCCTGAAGGTAATAGTGCACATTCAGACCATGCAGGGTGCAGGGGATCCGCTATGATCTTGTGAGTTGGATTCATTGAGTACCTGTCTACTCTAGATTAAATGTAATATTCTTCAAAGAATGATCAATAAAGGAATCTTACTAAAATTTAGGAGAAGTACCATCAAAAACCCTTTGGTGCTTCAAATGATTAGCACTGTTGACTGCAACGTATCATTTTGAGTCTAATCTGAAAAGAGGGTACAAATTTATATGATTGGTCCAAGTGGGCTGCTCTGAAGTTCACTCATTTATTACAGATGTTCCCATTCTCCTTTTTTCTGCAATCTGACATGAAGAAACCTACAATATTACTTTTTTTTAAAGTGCACTATGCTGTGTGAATGAAAAGCATATAGGATGATTGCACGAGGTAAAGACTCAGTATGCCAGGTAATCTCTCCTCAGATTGAAAGTTTGATGAAAGATCAAAAGTAGAGTCAGAGCTGCTGAGTGAGACGAGAGTGATGCAAGAGCTGAATCACATAAAAGAAGCAGAGGGAGGGCTGGATGTAAAAAAAAAACAAAAAAACACACAGTATAAATAGGCTCATCTTCCATGAGTGAATGGATGGAGAAACACTTAGTGAGTACATTACAAAGGTCAGTGTCATCCATTTCAGCAGCGTACCAGTGGATTTCATCGATCACGATGCCAGAAATGAGCAGCAGGGAAGCCAATTTATCCTGAAAGTCTCACTCAGTTCCACTGTGTGATTCTCCACTGATTAAACCAAACCAGATCAGGGTGACAGACCCAATCAAGCCCCACAATGTCAGCACTCTTTGTTGTAACCAAGAATAATAATATTATAGTATGATAAAAAAGGAGACAGCCATTCATTGTTATGTTAATGAATCTAATTTGCAACACAATGATGAAATGAAAGTGCTGCAAGATTATAACAGTGCTGCCAGTTTATAAGTCTAAAAATACTGTGTACATCTGTGTGAGTGTCTGTCGCACTGATCATCAAAGTATTTCAGTGTACAGTATTTCTTAGCTCACTGGTCTCCTGGAAATTTAAATGACTCAGAGTGGCTGTGATCAAATAAAATGAAATCACGTTTATTTGTCACACAGTACAAGGCATAGTGAAATTCTTTTGTACCTAGTTCCAGAAAGCAAGCACACACATACACACACACAAACATTTCATGTGGTGCATTCGGAAGGGTTAAGCAAAGTTTGTACTTTACTCCAATTTCCTGACATTATCCCCTGAATATGATGCGCACAGTCGTTTGTAACTCAGCAAAACCTAACATAGAAACACTACACAGCACCACTGGCAGGGATGTACAGCGATAACCTCCTTTTCTCTTCTAAATGTGGCGTAAACAAACTACACCAACCATGCCACACACTGTCACATCATCCATTTCATCATCTTTTAAGATTTCACTCCTCTGATTGATTTGAGCTCACTTTTCTGCAAATGGATCTCAACATTGTGAAGTGAGCCTCCTGCACCCAAAAAACTGTCAAGACTTTAATTTATAGTTGCCAACACAGCCTCTGTAATTCGTGACTAGGAAAGAAGCAGAAACAAGGCACAGAGAAAACAGAAAAACTAAATGTAAACTGATATTGCTACATGACCCCTGTGTTTGGTGAATTATTTGTGGAGGAATTTTTACTTGACAAATTACGAACATGGCAGATTTGCATGGGGATTAAGATCATAGACAGCCCTTTTAATTATCACATGTTACCAGAGGTCCCCAGGTAGAAAGAAAATAATTGAATAGAAGAGAATAGAATACTATTGTGGCCGAGATTTTTTCGGATGAACTGCGCATCCAAAACCTTTTGTAGACTGTAAAAATACAAGCACATTAACAGACAACACTAACACAAAAGTCCCAACAGAAGTGAGCATCAGTGGATGTTGACAATGAAACGCTCCAGCTGTTATTTTCTGCAGATTATTATTACCCACACTTGTGGAAGAGGAAAGTTCCACACTGACTCTGACCTGCATTCAGCATCTTTGTCTACAGAGGCAGCCTCTGTCAGCAGTGGTTGGTTGCAGGTTTATTAAAACACTTTTCATCCTCACTGTAGTGACATGATTGTTGAAACATTTTCCAGGAATTTAAATTCTGTTGCAAAAAGGAATCACATTTTCCCCTTCTTCATTTCTTCATGTTGCATTGTGGCCCACTCCATCAAGAACATGTTGACATCTGAACACATGGCAGCACGTGGTCTGGCTCATTGGATTATAATGCCAACCTAAAGTGATCTGGGAGTGCTAACAGTCTCCTGTAGATGAGAGAAGTAACTGGAGCCTCTGTTTATGTGTCTGCTGAGGGAAATGCTCTCAGCCCTGCCTCCTCTCAATATTCAATACAAGCAGTTAGACCAGGATTGATGTCAGTTCACTTCAAATTCATAAAATTAAACTGCAGTCCACATAATAATCACTGAAGTCTGGATCTTTTGTTCTGGTAGGTTCTTATAGAGAAAACATTTAATATCAACTAAAAAAAACACCTCCAAAGCTCCTTTTCTTGACTAAAGGGATCTTGCATAACAAACTGTGTATATCTTGAGAATACATCTCATAACACACATTAAATTGTAGGTATCGATATTAGTTGTACATGCTACAGTTGCTGCTTTGTAGAAGTTACTTTACCTTCAGTAAAACCCATGTAGTCATGCTGCAAATGTTTAAGGTTGTGCTCATTTTAACTCCTTTATATAGTGTTTGGTAGTTTAATCTACAGCAATGCATCATATTTGATAAAATCAACAAATGTTTGTTGTGTTGTTGTACATGTATCTCCAAAAAGTCAATTTGTTATGGTGTCAGAAAAACTGTCTGATGATCTTTAAGAAACATTTAAGAAATTTGACAGCAGGTATCAAAGTAGAGTTTTCAACTTCTGAACATTCATGTCTAAAGATAACAACCTTGTTTCTCTGTGTCTCCAGGTCGGTATCATCGACGACGACATTTTCGAAGAGGACGAGCATTTCTTTGTGCGCCTGCTGAATCTGCGTGTTGGCGACGCAGAAGGGATGTTTGAGAGCGACGAAGTGGGTGCCGCCCCGAAAGCTCGCTTGGTTGAGCCCCTGGTTGCTACAGTGACCATCCTGGATGATGACCACGCTGGCATCTTCACGTTCAGCGAGTGCATGGTGCGGGTGAGCGAGAGCGTGGGCACCATGGAAGTGACAGTGGTGCGCAACTCAGGTGCCCGTGGCACCGTCATCCTGCCGTACCACACCGAGTCAGGCACCGCCAAGGCTGGGCAAGACTTTGAGGACGCCCGAGGAGAGCTGGAGTTCACCAACGATCAGACCACGTGAGTCAAATCAATCCTTTATTTATTCATTTATTTATCCAAAAATTTTTTTACGTTTTACATTTTCATACATTCATGTCTTGAAGAATCTCTGCACAACCTCTGTACTCTGCTGCTCGTCACAAAGCAGCTGTGTTGTAAGTTCAGTGCCTTGCTCAGTGGTATGTCACTTCCTCTGCCCTGTTCTCCATGTATAAGCCTGTGAGGAGAGATTACAGTGTTTGAGAGCTGCTGATTTATGTGCTGAACATTGCCTCATCCTTAAAAAAACCCAGTAACAGCACTAAGACAGAAGGAGCAGAGGGAATTTTTTGTTACCTTCTTTGCCCTCTTCATCTTTTTCCTCATCACCCTTGACTCCTCTTCCATCCTCCTCATCTTGTCTCCCTTTTCCCTTTATTTATTCTCACCTTTTCTCTCCTCTTCACCTCTCTCAGCTCCGTCTTCCTTTTCATGCTCTCCTTCTTCATCCGTGTGCTTGCAAGACAGCAGTCCTATCCATTATTTATTAAGGCTGACTTGAAGGGGAGCCCAGCATGTTTGTGTTGAATCCTCTCCAAGTTTCTTGTGAAGAGTGAAAGTTTGTGTTTTGAAATGTTCAGGTTTCTAATTGCTGGGTGATGACTGTGTGAATGTAATACACTTAATTAGCTGCATAAAAGACTGACATTTTCATGACAATGACTCATTTACATGCACAAAGTATTGCATTTTTTGTCCTTATTACGAAAAACACAATATTCCTACTAAGTTGTTTACACAGCTAATGACAATAAGTTTTCCATTAATGTTTCTGTTAACATGCAGCTGTGCATATTCCGATTACCATGCCCTAACATTGTCTGTCACATCAAAATATTGAAAGGTGGATGTCTGGAGCTGCCTGTGCCATTTTGCTTCCTTGCATTAGAATAGAATTTTTTTTTCGGTGGCGGATTTGTTGAACCTGAACAGTCTCTTTTTCATCCTGTCAACCACCTTCTTGAAATAGTTGCCGTTGCAATATTTGCACATATCCAAAAACCTGTTGGTATTCAAGTCTGTTTAAAAGTAGGTGTGTTTCTCCTTCCGAACAGAAATGTGGGCTTTTCCTTTTGGCATGCATCTCTATCCCAGCCTTGTATACTTGGTTAGTTGGTTTGTATACAATACATCAATGACAATGCAGAGAGCTGACTGTAAACACACACACACACACACTTATAAGGCATCTGTTTAATGGCTTTGACACAGGTGCGTTTCCTTGTTTCAGAGGCCTGGTTTTATGTTTGCGCAGCACGTGTCAAAATCGACTGTTGCTTGTGTGATTCCAGCAGCTCTAAGCTGATGTAGACTGGCAGGTTCATTGACTGACAGAGACCTGGATTAGGTGAGACAGGGCTGGTGATGAATACTGGCTGAGTGGATGGATCTAAAGTGTGTTTTTGTGACCATGAAGAACTCTATATAATATTTCTCCCAGTCTCAGCACCACCTCGGCTCTGCTCTAATGGGGGAATTTATACCGGATTGTTCGTCCGGTGGTTAATGATGGCCCTGTCAGCATGTCTGAATATTTGTCAAAGCATCCGACCAAATACCTGAACATTTCTGCTGTTGGACAGACAGTGTTGTCATCTTTTTCACCTCATTTACAGCCACAGGCTTCGTCTGTCTGCCTTCTCTGCCACTTGTGGCCTTGCTGCTTGATTACTGATGAGGCACTAACAAGCCTCTGGAGCCAACTTTCACTGGAAAAATCGCTGTGACTGCAGTTCCACTTCATGCTTCTGCAGCTAGCCCAGAGTACTTTTACCTCCCTCCTTCTGACCACAGCATGTCATGTAGAATGATAGTAGGGACCTCTGCTGGGAACTGTTAGACCACATCTGTCTCCGACCTCCAGTCCACTTCTGGAACCAGAAGCTTCACTTGTGTTTTGTTTTTTGTTTTCTTGCTGTACGTATCCATCTTGCTTTGCTTAGATGCTGAATTTGTCTTGACCAGGATGCCGGGCTTTCCTTTTCTCCAACCCATTTTCTATCCTGTAGTACCTCCGAGAGCTTTGCAAACACCTACTCTGTAGTCATGCCTGGTTGTGACCATAGCCTGTAAATAATGGATGAATCTTCTGTGACATCACCCATTTGTTTGTGGACTCCCATTTTGAAGCCTTGAATTCAGCACTTTGGCCATAACCGTCTTGGACTTTTGGAGCCAAAAGTGACCATACTGACTGGCTTCTGGATCCAGCCTCATGTAGCCATTCAAAGAACTGCAGTTTTCGGCACCTCTGCTTTGGCTTCATCATTCAGTCCTGTAACGTGCCTATTTTGCAGAGAGAATATCTTCTTCACTCAGCCTGGGGGCCTCAAGCCTAGGACTGAATCACAGCCATGCTGATACTTAGTACAGCAGCACTCTCTCTTGTGAGATATTGCTTAATTGTGCTGCAACCTTACCTCAACCTGAGTGTTTGCAGTACCTTAATAAATTAGGGCTGATCGTCAGTTGCTTATCTGAACTGAACATCTTTACATATTTAATGGAATCAGCAGGTATTGTTGGGCTAAGTGTTGTCAGTAAATAACCAGCCTGTTAGTATCCAACAGTTTGATCTACAGGCTCAGATTGAGATTGGACATAACAGTCTGATGCTGCTGTGCTGTGGTAATTTGTCACCCGCATCATTTAGTGATTTACCACACTGACATTGAATATTCACATATCTGATTTGCCTCAGATCTCAGTGTAAAGTCTTGGTAACCTGCTATACAACACCTAATTAACATTTTCCTGATTCTTTCCTGATGTGACGGCGCCATTCTTTCCCTCAAACGCAGCCTTGGCGATTTGTGCTTAATGACGCGATGCCGGTCTGGTCCAGTGGCTCTGAAACATTTAATTAAATAGAATTAATTTTCATGTCAGAACTTTGGAGAGACCAGTGACGTGTCAGCACAGTTTATAGCTTTCAGCAGTGTCCTCATGGCTGTGACTCTCCTGCCATGCTGTTTTATTATCTTTCTGTCTGCTCATCCTCATCTAATGATCTCCCTCCTTCATTTCTGTCATTGTCACGCCACATTGCTCTCCAGTCAGGGCAACTGGCCACGGGCTACATCTGTCTGTCTCTCCACCTTTCATTTTGCACTTACTGTCCATCAGTTTCCCCTCGCTCTGGTGGGTCTCCTCTCTCTCTCTCTGTTTCCATCTTCCCTTACTCCTTCTCCTATGTACACACCTTTCCTTTCTAGATATTTCTTCATACATTCCTCTTTTGTTTTTTCTATCAGTAGCTTACCTCTTCAATCTGTTTTGTCTACTCCCATTTCTTTCCTCTCCTGTATGCTTCATTTTCTCCCTCCCCTCTTAAATCTCTTCCTCCTCCCCTTTTCCTTCCCTCCATCTCTCCTTTCCTTTTCCTCTATCTCTCTTTATCTTTCTCTATCTATTGCTCCCTCTGTGTCTATTGTCAGTGTAGATTTTCCTCTGTCCTCAGTGAGCTGGTTTTCATTTCAGTCTGGTGGTCCTCAGAGACACTAACAGGTCTTGTCATCATCGCTTCATCTTCACTTTCTCTCCTCCAATATGTAGCTGTCGTTCCTCATCATATCTCACTTTTTCTTTTAATACTTTCACTCCTTTTTTATGAATAGCCAGCTAAACACTTTGCATACACATGGGTACAGAAAAATAAAAGAGTCTTGTGTTCTCGGGGCCAGATGCATAAACCTGTGGATAGATTCACAACTAAAACTGCGTGTAGTCACAAAAGCAGAAATGTGCATATTTATTATTTTTGTCAGATTTATAAAACCACGCATATGCCTTATTCTGTTTTATAAATCTGGATCATTGTGGTGCTGGGCGAACATGCACGAGCCGTTCCACACCCATTGTTTGCCATAATTGGATGTAGAAACACCTTGAAACATCTATTGGCATATTGATACTTGTGTCCCTCCCCCATTGTGTCACTCAGTGAGGTTCTCACACTTCTGAAATTACACAGAGCGCTGTGCAGCCTGCAAAGATAATAACACAATAAGTGAAATTAGCAAACAGTCTACAAACAGTTTTAACCCTCTCTCAACTTATATTCAAGATCCACTTTATCATCAGTCGCAGCTATCTCAGCTAAAACCATGCGTATGCCTGGACTGAAGAATACATGGGGTGCACACATTCTTCCTTTATAAATACCAGTTTATGTGTGGGGAAAAAGGAGTATGCATGGTGTTTGTGCGTACACATTGTTAATGCATCTGGTACTGCAGTATCTCAAGACTATTTTAGATTATTGGAGATACTACAGTGTCCTGGCCTTTTATCTTTTTATCCACCTGTGACTGAATTATTGATACTGTCTCTCTCTGCATCCTGCTTCCTTCTGCTGTGATTTACACAGCAGCTGGTCCCGATCAGACAACAAGAGGGAGGTGTGTGTGTGTGTGTGTAGGTGCGTGGGTGTGTGGGTGGGTGTACGGGAGTGTGTATGGATGCTCCCCTGCATACATATGTGAGATTGTATGTTTGTTTACAGAAATGCAAAATATTACAAAGTTTGTTGTTAATTCTTTTGTTTCTGTGTGTGTGTTTTGTGTGTATGTGTGTGTGTGTGTGTGTGTGTGTGAGCAGTCAGACGTTCCAGGTGAGGATAATTGATGATGAAGAATATGAAAAACATGAAAACTTCTTCATTGTGTTGGAGGAGCCACGCTGGCTTAAGAGAGGAATCTCAGGTAGGTTTTTTTTGTTGTTTGTTTTTGTTTTTCTTTAACATATTTGATGCGATTGTCTTGTTTTACCAAAAGACACTTAAGACAAATGGATCAAGAGGAGTAAAATCCTTTAGTTTCTTACACAGACGCCGATGATGTCAGCACGCTGGCGGACACTGTCGTCTGTGGACATTCCCATAGGAAAGTTGTAATAGAACTAGCACTGGCTCCCAGCGGCAGTGATGTGACTGGATCCAAATCTGTGTACTTCTATACTTCCTCGACCAATGGCTGATTAGCTTTGCCTTACACCCGCCTACACTTGAAATGCTGTTCCCCGAATTGTTGTCCATAGTACAACAGAAAAGGAAGTGTTCAGTGCATCGCAAGAAGAGATTAAAATGGATATGATTTCATTTGATTCAGCTATATTGCATCTCTGTTACATGTAACGCAGGTGCCGTACCTATGGCAACGCCGTCATGTGGTCTGGATATCCCCGTCCATTTCTATTACAAAACAAAAGACGAATGTCCCCAGACTCCCATCCCGAAGTAAGGGAGGCTGGTCACGCAAGACTAAAAATCCTTTTGATCTGTTCACCTGGACACAGACACACAGACAAGATACACATAAACACTTTTAGAGGAAATCATTAAACTTGTTATTCACAAAAAAATATATATAATTCTTATTAAAAATCATAGAAAATAGACTGTCCTTTTAACTCCATAACTTGTCTTAGAAACTCTTATTTTAAAGTTTTCTTCAGCATCAAAGTAATCCTTGGATATTAGTCTGTACATCCATGGGTAGATAACAACACGAACAGGCTAGCCAATAACTTATTTGGCATTCTTTCAATGCTGACAATTTGCCAAAATGTCAACAAATACAGGATAAAAAAACAGGGCTCAGTTTGTCACCCACAGATTACCATGCTCCCAGGAGTGCAGCTCAGACTTGCTTCCAACTTCCTTTTCCCACTGGCCACTTGTGGTATTACAGCAAAAAAACAAAACAAAACAAAACAAAAAAACAAAAAACAAAATCTATTTTCCCCATGGACCACCTTTACAAAAGAGACGCCTGTAAAACTGTTGACAGGACACCTCCAACTGTAAACAAAGTCAGTCTATTGTGAATATTTGATCCATGGAAGTTTTATTTTTGTAAAACATTCCTTGAGCCAAGAAAAGCAATTTAAAAATCAATTAATTCACATTAAATATAGAATATAAACAATATGAATGATGCTGTTAAATGTAAACAGTAGGGTTTTTTTTAACTAAATTAGTGGAACGTTGTGATCTTTCACTGTTTATTTGTTCATATTTGGAAAAACACTGCTAACAAAGAAACTACTGCAAACTTTTGTGCTGCTTTAGTTTGTGTATTCTGAGTTTTGCTGCAGCCTGTTCGTTTCATTTTGTCGTTTGTTCTGTTTTGTTTTGTTTTTTTTAGCTGTCTCAGTGACCCACTTCTCCCACAGGGATCAATAAAGTTCTTAGACACAAAGACTCACACACATTCAGGGATCCATCCATTCATCCATTACCTATCACTGCAACAACACAAGGACTCAGCTGCCTCCTTTATTCTTTGTAATGTGAAAAGAGAGAAAAACACAGAGAGCTAGAGAGAGACAGACAGACACGAGTGTTTATTTGAATTTCTGAAGATTTTCTTAGAAGTCAGACAGCCGTCGCCACAGTGTGTAACTAATTTAGAGATTACAAAAACACGCGCAGCTGTCTGATGGAGGGATAAGAGGAGAGGATTTTTATTAATGGTAAATACTACAGTGAAGTGATGTATGCAGGAACTCACTCTAAGTTGGTTCTGTGAGTTTGTGTTTGTACTTTCATCTGAATGTGTGAAGTAGAGTTTGATGTGTTATTAGATGTTGCTGTCAGCCTGAATGTGTACTATCACTTACTGCTCTTTTTTCCCCTACCCCCTCTGTCCTCTTTACAGCTCTGCTGCTCAACCAAGGTAAGACCACTGGATTATTCCTTCTGCTTCATACTCAAAGTCCAAGGCTGATTTGATGTGTCAGGAAATTTAAGTAGGGCTGCAACCATAGGCAGCATAGACAACGCATCTACACTTAACCCCACTGTACAGAAAAAATATCCCTCATACGGCTGCTGCCATCTTGCTCATTCGGAGCCAGAATCTGCGCAGTATCGATCTCTGCGGTATCAAGTTTCCCATGCATACAGCCATCCAATTAATCGCAAGCAGCGTCACTGAATTCAGCCCCACTGATTTGCTCACACAGTTGTCAATCATGATGTAAAATCACTGTTTTATAGCATCAGATAACTAATTAAAACCAAACTTATCAGAAAAATGAACATTAAACACACAGCAGCGTGATGAAAACAACCTTAAATGACAGAAACCATGTTTGGGAAAAATTTAAATGATGTGTACTTTGGGTTTTTAGTTTGGGACATGTCCCACCCACTTCAATTTTTCGCTTCAATTTTGGGGAGCTGTCATGTCCTCCATCTTTTAATACAATCTATGGCTGTAACAAAACATAATTTTTTTCACTGATTAACCTGTAAATTATTTTCTTGATTTATCATTAATTGTGTGTTCAATTGTCTTGTTTTGTCTGAATTTGTCAGAATATGGCCTAATGCAATTTTCAAATCACAGGGGGTGCAGTATTTGTTAGAGGCAAAATGTGTGTCAAAATACTATTTTAGATTAGATATTGTCGTGCTGCAGAAATGTCTGGCTTACACATCATATTCTACCAACTTAAGAAAACATCTTTGTTTGGTTTCCCTGCAAATATCATATCATAATCTTATTGATATGTTTTTCAATGAAAATGAAAATATCACTGTGACAATTATCATTTGATTTAAAGGACAACTTCGGTATTTTTCAACCTGGGCTCTATTTCCCCATGTGTATGTGTGCGTATGATTCATGGGTACCACTCGTTCTAAAATTGGTTCAGTATTGAGCCGCGAAACGAGCTAAAACGGTAATGGGGGCAAATGTGTCCCGTATAAAAGTGCTTATCGCCAGTGTTATCTCTGTAGATAGCATATTGTAGCAGCCCTGTGGCAGTGGTGACTGTGAATGAGTGGAGTCAGCTGTCAGTCAGTGTTGGAGCAGAAAGGCGGAAGGTGTCCCCGCTTGGTACTGTAAGTGAGTATGTGTGTGTGAAGTGTGTGTTTTTTCGCCACTGACCGGTTCAGATCACCAGTGCTATCTCTGTAAATAGCATACTAGCCTTTCCCTTACCTCTGGGCTGTGTGATGTCACGAGCTTTGCTCCACTGTGTCTGTAGCTCTCTCTACCCGTGGGACAGCCGTTTTCTTGAGGAGGAGGTGTTTCGGGATTGGATGTCTTCTCTTCTTCGGCTGGCAGTAGTCATCTTGGGAGAAGTGAGCACTGCAGACCCGATGGTCTGCAAGGCGCAGTGTCTGGAGAGGAGTGTTAGCATCCATTTGTAGCACAACTAGCCACAACTTCAGCATCTCGCCGTCCAACAAAGGCAGCCTATGAAAGCTGTACGGGGTGTTGCGCGACATCCTGTTCTTGCGTTCGGGAAAAAGGCCCGTTTATTTGAGCACTCCAAAAACTCCGGTAACACCCCAGAGGGTAGCACATAAAAGACTCCGTCCTCTGACTCTTCTAGCGTAACATACACACTTCCTACACACATACTCATTTACTGTACCAAGCGGGGACGCCCTCCCACTCTCTGCTCCAACACTGACTGACAGCTGACTCCACTCATTCACCCTCACCACTGCCCCAGGGCCGCTACCAATGTCGTGCTGTTTGTGCCACTGTTTTGTGGGTTCATCAGTTTCTGGCCAGTAATCATTCAGGGAGGCTCGCTGAGTTTACTCACTATTTTTCTCAATCTGAGTGTTACTTTCATAGTTTGGGACACGATTCTTATCAGTATCAATGGTGTTACCACGTTACATACTTCATGTAATGTTAGATACTTAATGAAATGTTATGAAGGAATGAAGCAAGTAAAGTTACGTACAAAATGTTAAGTTATGTAGATTAGGGTTAGGAAAAGAAACATGGTTGGGCATCGTCATGTTATCTACTTAACCCTATGGGCCCGAACGACGCATAGTGCATCCAAATTCACACCCGTTCTTCTCTGTGGATTTTCTCTGCGACCTTGCGTCATAGCAAGAAGCCACGCATATCATGTGAAACAGCGGAACTGTAGCTTTCCGAGAAGGCCAAGCACTTGTCGGTACTCCAATATTTTCACAGCGAAAAAAAAATGATAAAGTTACATTAAAATGATGTATAACAGAGCTTTCATACAGCTTTGCACACACATCACTCTTGGACGGATTACTCGCGAATGCAGGCTCGCACAGAAATGCCATATGCCATAATGCATATCACATGAAAGCGCAGGAGCAGAGCTTTCCAGGGATACTACACACATCATTGTACTGTCATCCCATCATGCTATAAATACAGATTGATTGTCTACAAAATAAAAACCTGACGAATTTCTTTACAACCCATTATACAGATCTTGTTATCAGTCACTTCATATAGTGAGGAATACCGTATCTTACCACGTCTTAGGCTTGCGTGTGTTTCTCCCTGTCTATCCACATTTGTAGTCCGGCTTTCAAGATGCAAATATCTCCATATTGTCCAGTTGACACTCCATCAAACTTTGTATGACAAGACCAGCCACTTCACCTTTGCGCACCCAGACAACTGCAGCCTAATTATGCATGCATGACAAGGCCGTAGTCACCATATACATTGAGGGGGACATGTGCCCCCCCACCAATGCCCACAATGTTCCCCTAGTATATAACTGAAACTGAAAAACAACAACAAACTTGTTTACTGCAAACAAAGTGGCAAATATTATCTTGGAGGAGATCATTGCACTTGGTTGATTATTTTTCTATGATCTTAGATGTAAATATTGCATGTTTCTTTCCGATAAAACACAGTTTTTTGAGTCAATGGAATTTCTTGCAATAATGAAAAAATACTGGCAATCATGTCCGCCTGGCACAAACCACATGTTTTGGACAACTGTGAAGTGACAGAATGTCCCAGCATCATGGTTCTGATATTGCCAGATTCCAGAGAGTCTCCCCTCTTCATATATGGCAGAATATGTCTTCTTCCAACTTGCTATGGTGAGATACATGTAAAAATGTAAGAATTTAGTCACACGGATTTGTTTTTTTCATTGATATAACAATCAATATAAAATACAGGCACATAGAAGGACATGAAATGATGGCAAATCTGGTTAGCCCAGATTGTCCTGAAAAAAAAAACAAGATATAGCATGTGTATGTAGCCTTTATAATGACTGTGATATGAGCTTAAAAGTAAAGGCAGTAAAAATACCCCAAAAACGCCTAGGGCCCATAGGGTTAACAGTAAGGTTACATACATAGCGTAAAGTTGCATAGGTTTAGGCAAGTAAAGTTACATTACATACATTGAGCATAGCGTTGGTTCAGGCAGGACACAATGTCAAGCTCAGCTCACATCCCAGCTACATCAGCTGATTTCAAACAGCCAATCAACTGATTGATAAAAGGGAGTCAGCTGATAAATCACATGATTCCTTCCTAGAGAGGCTTTCTGCATAGGCCCGAGGAAAGGCAGAGAGGCCCCAGAACCGAGGCACTGCCAAATATAATACTTTAAATGAAAATAAAGTTTTCTTTGATTAAAGTTTTCCTGACTGAATTAATGTTAGGGTACATAGGTTAGGTTTTGGAGAGTAAAGTTAGGTAGGTTAGTTTTAGGAAAGAAACACGGTGATGATGTACCTTAGACCTTAGACCTTGTACCTCAAAGTTCACTTGGTTTCACACAGGAGACAAACACCTATCTCCTGGGGGAAAGTCCTGTGTTTGTTTGGCCCATCCAACTCTTTAACCTGCCTCTTTATGCAAACTTTCACTCTTCATACCACATCTTTCTTGGCCCTCATCAGCACATTGGTCACATGATCACGGCCCTCCTGATTATACACAAATTCTGGTGAACAATTCTCATGGGCATACATACGAACAGTGCAGCCTGAGTAATAACAGTTATTCATTTATCATTTATTAATTTTCTGTAACTGCTTATCCTGATGGGGGTTGTGGGGGGGCTGGTGCCTATCCCAGCTGACATTAGGAGAGAGGCAGGGTACACCCTGGACAGGCCGCCAGACTCTCACAGAGCTTACACATAGAGACACTCACATTTAGAGTCACCAATAAGCCTAGCCTGCACATCTTTGGACTGTGGGAGGAAGCCGGAGTACCCACAGAAAACCCAAGCTGACACAAGGAGAACATGCAAGCTCCACACAGAGGGGCAATGCTAATATATAACCACTGTACCACCGTGCCACCCTCTGAGTAATAACAATGAACCACTTATTTAATAGCTGAATTCTGGGAACTCGATGACTTCACTGAAAAGAAGTGTGGCGGGAGTCTGCAGGAGCTGACGTGTACCTCAGAGGGGTAATGACATACTCAGAGAGCAGTAGTGGAATTAAAGAAGTAATATGATGAAAGATAAAAGTTCCATTCTTTTGAAATTTCTTAAAAAATAAGTCTTATTCAATGTACATATGAATATCATTATTGTCAAAAACAATGTTTCCATATTACTTCTTTTTTTTTCACATGTAGCAAAGTTAGAATCTGACAAAGTAATTTATTTCACTCTGCAGTGCTTTGGAACAGATGCCACAGTTTCTCTCAGCTGCAGTTGTTTTTCCTGCAGTCACTCAGGTTTTTCCGCTCAGCTGGGACATTGTTTACTCTGTACCACATTGTAATGGCCTGGCTCACTTTCCTGGGGTCCGTTTCACAAAACAGGTTCAACAAACTCTGAGTCAAATCCTGAACTCTGAGTTGATCTACTCTGAGATAGGAAACTCTGAGTTTCCGGTTCCAGAACAGCTGATTTGAATCAGTTTAATCAACTCGGAGTAGTTTCACCTGGAGTTAAGCGCGTGCACCACAACTATAAAAAGCCAGCATCAATGGAGCCCCGATTCGACGAGTCACCATGGCAACGGGGAGGGCTGCGTTTTTCACCCCACTAGAATTAGAAATCTTAATGCGCTCATACGGCGAGTTTGCACACGTTTTCAAAAAGAAGTGCAACACCGCTGCAGCTGCAAAAGAGAGGGAGACGGCGTGGGAGAATGCATAAGTTTAAATGTAGTCCTTTGCAATCACAATAATATTACAGGGGGAAACTGCTTGAATGGTAGCCTATTAATTTATTTCATTTAAGTGCAATCCCGCGGGGGAGAAGCGCACTTGGCAGCAGTTTAGGATGAAATATAAAAACATTGTTCAAACAAGTAAGGCTCAGCATAATCTCATGGGGGTACCTCATTTTGATCATGTTTTACATTGTAAAGTAAATATTAAGTGGCTGTTTGACTGTGCAGTTGTTGTATCCCCAACATAATGCTGTTTTCACACACATAAATGTCTTCTCATCTATATCATGTTCTGTTAAATAATTAAGCCTATTTAAACTAACACAGACTTCTACTCAGCCAACAGAAAGAAGGCAGATGCCCATAAAACGAGCACACTTTTCTGACCGCCCCGCATAAAGTTGCCTTACTCAAGTGCTCAGCATCTCCGACATTGTACAAAAAACTTCCATTTGCAAAGAAACACAGCGCATTTTTATACAGTCTATGAGCGCAACACACAATATCTGCTGGGATGTGAGAGCATGACTACGATTGGTAATGTTGCAAATGTAAGGACGGATTAGGTTGTGTATGTAGATGATGGACTGTGACTTGAAACAGTACCGCTCAAAAAGATAATTGTGTGGAAATGCTAAAACATCTATGCGCGGTCTGATAACCATCTCCTGACGAATATTTAATTCTCTGCGCAGTCTTCATCCACGGGATCGTTATCAAAAGGACATGCCATGTTAGTGAAAAAAGTCGCCACCTACTGTGCCTAATGGACTTCTAATACTGACTCTGATTTTTTAAATGATTTTTTTAATGACAGACGGCAGAACTAGGCTACGCCAAAACTCGCCTGCTGACTGAATGAATGAGGAAATCAAATGGAGTGTGTGGCTCTGAAAGAGGGCGGAGACAGAGAGAAACTCGAGGTTCATTGAGAAAAACCTGGTCCCGACCAGGTTAGGTTCACAGAGTCTGTTACTACGGTAACTGACCGAGAGCTTAAGTTACCTCTCTCTCTGAAACAGGCTACAGTTACCCCTCTTTCTCTGGTTTGAGTTACCTCCCTTTTTGAAACAGAAAACTCAGAGTTTCCCTCATTTCAGGGTTAACAGACTCTGAGTTTTCACTAAACCTGCTTTGTGAAACGGACCCCTGGCGTCTCTCTTAGCCCTGCTTGGGGTAGCGATGGGTATTTGTTTGTTTACATTTGGATCACAGCAGAACTGGCCTCTGTGAATCTCTGCACGGCACAATGGAACATTTTGGAAATAAATGCTTACAAATGAGTCGGCGCTCCACATACTGGGCTCGGTGTGGGTACTGATGCAGATAGATCACTGTGTTTATGGCCTTGCATAGACAGCCAAATGGGGTAGCTTATACGCCTGCCGTGGGTTTACTTCATTATATACGTATATCATACTATACTTTAATATTATATTTCTTTTTCACTATTTTGGAGGCGAGAGAGTAAATAGGACAACTTTAAAACTTTGCTTATATGGAAATTGTTCTTGGATTCAATACAAAACGGAGAGAGCAGAAGACAGAACGATACTGGGATGTGTTTATTGATTTTTGGAATAGTGCAGCTGAATCTAAATCAACTCATCCTGCAAAGGAGAAGAGCGCCTCCTCCCTGCTAATTGACAACCCGATGATTTGAGTGCAGATTAGTTTTGAGCAGGGAGTCCTCTGAGCTCGTGACAAATCAAAATATACCAAAGAAAAGCAATTTTCTCCGAACAGCAGCGGCTGAGGGCTGAATCCAAAGGAGACGAGATTTGCCAATAATAAAGCAAACCTGCAGCCAAAACGCTTTTTAGTGCCCAATAAAGAAGATTTATTTATTAATCTCCCCAGTGTGCACAAGTCACTGACAGTGTGTTTTTGGTCTGATGAAGTCTTTGAAACTTTTCAAAATTCAAAATACCTCTTGCTGCCACTCAGAAAGCACAACAGAACAGCGTTAACCTCAAATGACAGACAATAAGAGGCAGCCAGAGCTGAATTCACATGCCGAGGGATCAATGAAATGTGCTCTGAGAGCGGGAGGCCCTGCGGCATCGTTGTCCTGGAGGTGATTTCTTGTTCGACCTCCTGTCGGCCCGTCCTCTGGTGAAGGCTGAAAAATGATGTTGCTAAGAGGAAGCACCTCAAAATGAAGTGAAGCCATGTTTGAGTGCACGTGCTGTATTAGTGCGTGTCTGATTGTGTGTGTGTTCATGACAGCTTGAAATAGTTTCAATGAATACTGCAGGGACGGTTGCCATATGCTGCTTTACTCCTTTACTCCTGCAGTCTTTTCATAATTAAACACGGGCAGCCTTTGAAGAGAGAGGGGAGGGCAATAATCTCTGCCTGTTCTACATGCACACACACACACACACACACACTGTCTCCATACTCTCTCACTCCTGATCAGAAAGGAAGAATGAGAAAATGCCACTTGAGGAAGTGTTCTTAAAGCTCTTTGTGGACCACCAGACTGTTACAGCCTCTCTTTGGTAAAGAGAAGAGACTTTAGAATCCCTGATTGGCTCAATTTCTTACACATTTCTTGAGCTCTGCTGTTGCCACTTGCATTGCAGTGGAGTTAGTAACACAAAAAGGGCCTCATGTCAGCATTAATCCCCTCTTCTTGCGAAGTGGTAGCTCTCTATCTCTGTCTTAAATACTGCATGGAGGCCCAGGACACACGGTTAAGCTTTGTGAAAAGAGTTAGGAGCTTCACTTCATCTATCTGTGTATCAGTCAAACCTCCTGAAGAGACCTCATTTCTAGCACCGCAAGTTTTGCTGTTGTTGTTTGCAGACAGCAGAAGACCCGCTGTCATCAGTTGTCCAACTATCAGCTGGCTGTCTGTCTCTCCACTCTGCGTGTGAGTGTGTGTGTGTGTGTGTGTGTGTGTAAGAGCACACACAGAGCACACACACATCATAAATGACAACAGTCAATGAGTGCAGTATGAGACTGTGTATTTATGTTATTATTTTTATTATGTTAACTTATGTGCACTCTTGTTTGTCATCTGTGGTGCATGGTGTTTCACTGCAGACCCTCACGACGCCACTGCAAGTGCAACAACAACAACCCCACAAGCAAACGACCAATTAGAGTAATTTATTAATGTAATCTGCACATAAGATGTCCAGACAAACAAACACTTAATGGAATACAGTTCTTACAGGTAACTCAGGAAAATTATTTCATATAAAAAAGAAAATAAAACATTAAGGAGCAGCTTGCAGGCAGCTTTCTTCTTGAAGCATTGCAGAGCTTTTCACTTGTCAAGCACACTCACTGGATTGATTTTAAGAACTTTAAAGTACTTTATGTGTGTGCACTGTGCCGCTGTATTAGCCAGGAAAATATAAGTAACAGATCAGGACTCAATATTAAATGACTGGGATGGGAATAGGAGGCAAAAAAAAAACTTAATGAGGACATCCCTAGTGAGTGTCGGTTGAAGTCACATGAAGATGTCACCCTGGGCTCTGGGGAAATTGTGGTGGACATTTTTCTTTGAAGCATAAACCCAAAAGGTCATTTTTAGCTGTGTGATTTTGGGCGAGTGTGGTGATATCTTTGGCGGTCAATCACAAACAGTTGTCCTACTCCTCTCACTGTGAAACACTTCCACTGACAGGTTTTAGAGCTTTGGCAACAAGAGAAATGCAAACAAATTCAGAATACACATGCGAGCTAGCGTAATGCTCAAACTCACTTGAATAGAAATGCCAGCATTGTGGCCAAAGCTTGTTTATTGTTACACTTTACTGCTCTACTTCGCACATTACATCTGTTATTTTTGTATGTTTGTTTGTTTTTTGTTTCCTTTTTTTCTTTGCATTGTGGCACTACAGTTCACAAGGTTTTAATCACACTCTCTGACATGCTTAAAATGTGTATTGTGCAGCCTGCCACAGACTGAGACCAAGATTTTATTGGAACTATCTCGCACAGTCTGTAGGCACCTTAAAAGAGCTCATGGGAAATCTAGAGCTGATGTTGTTTTTATAGATACATATATATATAGAATATTTTCTGTTTGACTCTGAACTTCAGCTAAGCAGCCAACCAACCAAATGTTAGTGTTTACACACCTGCTCTCTGTACTGTAGATCCATCCCTCTAATCTTTCTGTCACTGTGTTGCTGTTTTTCTGCTTACACACACACACACACACACACACACACACACACACACACACACACACAGATACCATCCATCTGTCATCCCCTGATGTCCCTCTCCCCTCTTCCTCTCCCACGCTGTGTGAGAACACACACTCGTACTCAGACTCAGATACATATTTTAGAGTCATGTGTTGATGCAGTGCAGCTCTAAAGCAAAGCTGACTCATGATCTATTATTGATAGCTGTAGATGTCTGTGACATGCACCTCAACTTTGAATCCATGCTAACTGTTGGTGTCCTTATTATTTTTCCTTCACATCACCTCTCCATCCTGCAGAGGGGGCAGAGGGGCAGATGAGTGCTGAGGAGGAGGAGGCCCGCAGGATAGCTGAGATGGGGAAGCCCATCCTGGGAGAGCACAGCCGCCTGGAGGTCGTCATCGAGGAGTCGTATGAGTTCAAGGTGCAGCATTCTTTTATTTATTTTCCTTACATGTTTTCCATTGAAGGAACAGGACCCTCTTTGTGTTTTTTTGCTGTAAAAAAGGCAATTTATTCCAGAAATGGGTTTTGCTTTTTTTAATTATTATTATTTTTGTTTCAGTTATTTTACTGTCCTTAAGATAAATGTAAGGATAACTTATAGATGGTAGCCAATCCCAGCTGTAATTGTGGCTGCATGATCCAAACAATTCCAATAACTCTTGTAAGTCCAAAAGTAAAAACATATATTGAAAGAAAATAAATACCTCCAAAATTTATATCATGTTTATCTCAAATGAAAAATTCACCTTTAAAGCCCTGTACACAGACATTTTCCCCATCTGTTAAAAAATGAATAAATCGTTCGACACCACCCTCATTTTACAAAATATCTCAGTCCATCCTAAAATGCAAAAACGACCACGCAGTTAGCTGTCTTCCACAGCCACCCCTCATCACAAAGGTAGTTAAGCGTACAGGCCAAGGTTACCTTTTTCAAAACACATACTGGAGCTCTCGTCACCGTTGATTCCCCTTCAAGGATGGATATAACAACAAAAGTGTTCACTCAAACATGTGAGTGATGCTCTGGACATGTGAAAGTTTAATTCCACATCTCATCAACAACAATCCCACTCTGGAAAGTGTCCCATCATTTGCTGCTTCTACCATGTCTGATCCAAAACTGTTGTTTCTGGTTGACGCTGAAGAGGACCAAATAACAGTGGGCACAGCAGACGGATCCACTCATCCATGAAGTTGTGCAGAAATACTAAGTTTAAGTGTAAAGTACTCATTGGACCAATCAGTGCTGACAAACCAATAGTCTGCTGTTGTTGTTTCTGGGACGTGCTCATCACACAAAGCAACAATGGGCATGCATGAACTGAGGAGATGATGTCATCATTTCCCAAACACTCCGTTTTACCCATCCACACAGAAACACAGTAACTGGAGTTTTGAAAAATCTTCACCTGAGAAGGCACTCTAAAAGGAATAACTGTTTTACTGACCTAAATCTCCCCACGTTCCATCTCTCTCTCTCTCTCTCTCTCTCTCTCTCTCTCTCTCAATGTTTGCGAGCCAGCTGGAATTATGTTTGAATAGAGTTTGAATCTGATACGTTGGAATAAGAGAAAAATAATGTTGTGACAATGTGGTTTAATTTGTCGGACCATAAATTCCCAAGTTTCCATACCTATGCTTTGCCACACTACTACTTCTAAACTGCACTGCATTTTTAAGATAGAGCAATCTTTATGTTATGCAGTGTGAATGGCAAAGGAAATTTTATTATGGGTTCTTTAAAAGTCAAAGAAAAGAATGGGGTCCATGAAAATGTGTGCGACCCCTGTCTATAAAAAGGGATTGAACTCTGTTTTTCTGACATTTTATATAATCCACCTTTACACCCTCTCACACTCTTGAGCTCAGGTGCTCACCCTCCCAGCGAGCAGGTCTAATATGGATTTAAATTATTGAAAATGCTGGAGTTGCCCTCCATGCAGCAGATAGCTTGAGGCATGCAGAATTCAGACTCTCGTGGCATGCACAGAGCGCTGCTACGTCTGCCTCTCAGACTTCCACTGTGTTCCCCTGTGCAGGAAGAGCAAAATCAGAGGAAGTGTACCGTGAGCAATCCAAATATTTGAAATGTGTGTTGGACTCAGGTGTATTTTAAGCAAATAACAGCAGCCATCTTAAGAAAATTAAGAAAATTTAGGAGAAAATTTAAGAAATGGAAAATTTAAACAATGGATTGATTCCCTGATGTGTAGTTACGGTTTTGTGAAGTAAATCGCATGCTGTTTTACCAGAGGCACTGAGGGAAGTGCGGTTTTGTTTTTACCCCTCTGAGTCTGGGTGAAATGCACAGAATAAATTATTTAAAACACAAGTAATGTAACTGCAATTGTTTATGTAATTGAAGGTGTTTCACAAGTTTTAAAACCCTGAAATCAATTAAATTCACTCAAACATACAATAAATAACCAGTGTGTTGTTTATCTTTTGTCATAATAAGCGGCAGAAGCTCGTCACTGGCTTCAGGCGGTTAAAAGTTAACATAAGTGTGTGTGTGTGTGTGTGTACTCCTCAGGAAACCTCAGCTCCTATAAGCCATCTTGTGCTCTTTTACACTTTCCCTAAATAACACACAAATTAATTGAGCAAACAAATCAAACATCCGCTTCACTTTGATCCAATGCAGCAGCAGCAGCAGCAGCAGCATGGACTGTTTGAGAATTAATTACAGCAGGAGAGAGAACAAAATGAGCACTAAACAAACATCAACAAAAGAGATGAATGAGAGGCCGTCGTTCTATTATCAGTCCAAACACAGTTCACCAAAATTCAATATTCTCATACTCTATTTGATTACTAACTCAATTGACCCCCTGTGGACAGATTTAATTGGCCTTGTCTCATATGATTTGCAGGTAGTGAGAACCAGCTGATGGAAGAATGCAATTCAGTTTGATTGGCATTTAAAAATAGTACACAGGAGATCAATAGGAGTGAACTTTGGCTCTGTGGTGGGTAGGTTCAGGGCTGTGCAATTTCTAATTTAATTGGGCCAGATTTTAAAACCAAGAAGTGTAGATGGGTCAGACATTTCCAACAGCCTAGGTGCTATGACCTAAATCCAACAGAAAGTCAGCCATTTTGAATTTATTGTGAACATTTAGTGTGTTTTTAAGATTCACAGGGGTCAGACTTTAATGAACTCCAACAGGAATTAATCAGATGGACTTCACATTTGGTCTGGCAAATCTGGAGAACTACACACAATGATTTTTGTGATCTTCAGTTCTCGTTTAGTGTCGTTGCGATGGCGACCTCGACAGTTTAAGTTGTCATGCTCGATCTCCAGGCCTGAGGATATCTATGTGCCAATAGTGACTTACAGTCACTGTGAATAGGAAGTCAGCCTTATGTGACAAACAGCATTTACATGAACTTTACATTGTGCTGTCTACACGTGATGTAGAGCAACATGATGCATGTTTAGTGTGGGCTCTCTAGCACCACATGGTGGACACCAGAAGTAATACAAAATTTGCAGTACATAATTTCCAGTGCTTTGCATGCTGCACAGTGTCGGATGGTCATGAAAATGTACAGCTGGGTCAACTGTCATCCTGTCAGTGCCCCAGCGTGCTCATAGGTGTGAGGGCCCATTCATCACTGCTTGCAGCAGTGTGTAGGATTTAGGGGGATTTAGTGGCATGTAGCAGTGAGGATTGCAGATTGCCATCAGCTGAAACTTCTCTTAGTTAGAAATCCTTCAGTGTTTATTGTTCAGAGAGTTATTAGCGGGAGCAGAACAGACCAGGAGATTAAAACCAGTTAAAACACCGAATTAGGCTGTTTCATGTTACAAATCAGTGTTTCTCTGACGCTGTTGTGCTTATCGCAGACGAGCCGTCAGCAAAGCACCTGCTAATGTGTGCTCACCTTTTTAAGCCTCTAGCTAAGGCTAGCACCAATGCAGAGGCACTATGTTTTCTGGTTGTCTGACATACGTACATCCCATCCTTGTAAACACGATACGTTAAGAAACGCATCAAGGGAATTCCTTCAAATTTGGCACAAACATTCACTTGGACTCAACAATTAGCTCATTTTTGGTGGTAAAGAGTCAAAGGTCAAGGTTGCTGTGACCTTGCAGCCATCTCATTCTCGTGTTTGGCACAAACATCCACCTCGACTTTAGAATAAACTGATTAGAATGATGTGGTCGAAGGTCAGAGGTTAAGGTCAGTGTGACCTCACAAAATATGTTTTTGGCCATAACTCAAGAATTTATACGCTAATTATGACAAAACTTGACACAGTTGTCTAATAGGCTAAGATAATGTAGTGGTGACATTTTATATCCAAAAGGTCAAAGGTTAACTTAACTCTGCACAACATGTGAAGGTCCCTATGTAGATATAAATGTCTCATTCTAAGGTAACAAAAATACAACAATTCTTATTTTCAAGTGATTATACACTAAAGAAAACTTACTTATTACATTTAATTTCTGCCAATGTATCCCCCTAAATCCTACACACTGGACCTTTAAAGTTTAGATTATAATTCTAGTGTCTTTGAACTTCAACCTCGATTTTCCTCAAGTTGCTCATTTACAACTTTTAATGACACTGATGTCATTAAAGAAAAAAAGACGGAAGCACCTGATTTCCTCAAGTATCATCAGAACCAGACTAATGTTGTTTCAGATATGAAGTGTAAAAGAAGAACGCAGCCTCCGCACAGCTAACAAGCTCAGTCTCACTCTGTGACTCTGTCACCTGTCCTCAGCTGTAATTGGTTGCTAATGAAGTGTATTTTGTGCTTTTGATTGGCAGAGCACTGTTGACAAGCTCATTAAGAAGACCAACTTGGCGCTGGTGATCGGCACACACTCCTGGAGGGAGCAGTTTGTGGAGGCGGTCACTGTCAGCGCAGGTGAGCTCTGTGTGTGTCTGCATGTTTGTGTGTGTGTGTAAGTCGACACATTACTGAAGTAAACAAACAGCTGTCACAGGGAGACTCTGGCAGCCTCTAACTATAAACTCAGCCACACTTAACAACTGCTGAAACTGTGAGTCGTGATTCACTGTCGCATCACCTCAAGTTTATCATTCAGTGTCTCCATCTGCAGAAGTGTCATCATTCTGCAAAACATGTTTTAAACAGTGACTTGTATCACTAATATCAATTCATTAATTAGTTTTACTGTAATGTGATAAACTGTCAGTAACACCTGTGATATTCTAATGTTTAAGCAAGTTGTCTAATTTCTGTTAGTGTTAATTACAAGTCTTGGCTTCAGTGTCTTGACTGATAATGCCGAAAATCTGCCTGTTATACAGGAAGTATACTGAGAGCTCTACGCCTTGCAAACACACAGTCAAACACAACTACATACAGACTAGAGCTATATCTTAGCTGGCTATGGCTACTTTCAGAAATGTCACCAAGTAAGCTAGCTGGGGAGCTGGTGGTGGATCATTTATACCTGTGTAGCAATAACACTTCCCCATAGGCTGCACTTGTGTGTCCTCACTTCCCTCTCCACCTGAAGCGTCCTCGCTCCTCTCTCCTTGACCTCTACAAATGCATTTAAGTAACTGATACGCCCTTCAAGACGGCTGGTCTCGATCGGTTGCCAGGTCAACCGATCAAGAAGAGATGATAGAGGAGTCGAGGAGAGATATTGTGATGAACGCAAGGTTCATTTGCATCACTTTGTAGTGTCTCCTGGGAACAGTTTCCGTTGTCGTGGTTTACTAGCGGCTTGTTTCTTTGCTTCTACAGCGCACTGAGCTCTCAGGGCCAAAAAACATACTAAAGCAACAAAGCACTAGTAATAAAGCATCAGTGAAATCAACAATCAAACACACAATAGGCAGCAGAACATAACTCAGCAATGAGTTAAATCAATATAAAATACGATGCAGAGCAGTTTTTAATTCTTAATGGAGTCCAGCATGCTGATGTGAGGGGGAAGTGAGTTCCAAAGTTTGGGTGCAGCAGAGGAGGGGGGCCCTGGCACCCATTGTGCTGAGGTTGGTGGCTGGTAGTGCCAGTAGACCTGCTGATGAAGACCGCAGGGAGTGGGAGGAGGTGTAACTCTCAAAGAGGCCTTTGAGTTAAGCAGGGAGGGGCTTTAAGTATTAACAATAAGATTTTAGATTAATTTGCTGTGACACAGGTAGCTAGTGTAATTAAATCATGAGAGGTGTGACATGTTCAGAGGACTTTGAACGTGTAATAGTCTGTGCTGCAGAGTTCTGGATGAGTTGGTGAATAAGTTTGTTGGGGATCGCATTGCGGTAGTCAGTGCGTGATATAACCAAGGCATTGACTAATACTTCCTTTGAGTGTTGTGATAAAACAGGACACAGTCTGGAGATGTTTCGCAGATGGAAAAAGGCAATCCAGGAGACAGTTTTTATATGACCGAAGAGACTTTAAAACATCTCTACCCCATCTGTAGCTTTTGCAAAAAAACTCAGTGTCTTTATGTCCGTCTGTTGAAAGAAATCTTCGGTCGCCTCTGCATCCATTAACAAGCTGATTAAGAAATTTGCAACTTCTTCAAAGCATGAGAGCAAGTTAAAGACATGTCTCTGTTTGTGCTTACAACCGTTTACATACAGTTCACCAGGCCTTCATCGCACTGACAAGCATCAAAATTGATATAGCTGATTAAACCCTTAACTCAGTGTGACTTACAATTAACTAGTAAGGTTGTTGTTATCACAGTATATAGCTGCCACTAATTAATATGGAAGTTGTTGAGCATCCCTTACTTCTGCCCACCTGATGTCTAGACCTGTATTGACCCAGGTGTTTGCGGTCTCTGGGTAGTACGCACAGAAAGTCAGCCCTCCCAATTACTTATTGTAATTGGGAGCCACACAATAACACAAACAAAATAAACAATCAAGTCGGCAGTAGACCAGCAACTGCTGTGCTCTGCCAAGTAAAAAAAGTTTCCAGTAAGGTTCTGGATGCAGGAGTTTTACTTGTAGTGCAGTATTTTCACAGTGTGGTGTAAGTAAGAATACCTCATTCACAACTTCCTACCTTATTGGTAAAGGTCTGAAAGGACAGGACACTTGACTTCTTAATGTATTGTGATTTTGTCATGTCACAAAATTGGGAAATATTGATAAAGTGTGTTCAAACACATGAACGCAGACGGTGTTAGTGTTAGTTTTCAATCATAAGTAGTAGGTGGGAGCTGGATTTGTAATTCAAGGCCATCATCTAGTGGAAGTAACAGTCCACTGCAGATAGTAATTATTCCACTCTGGTGTCAGCTATGCAACAGTTTGGACCCCAAAGTCTATAGTTTTTAATCAGTATGAAACCCGCTGATTGTATTTTAATATCAATGTGTTCCTACATGAAACCTGTCAATCTGGCACCAGCTATGTCAGTGTGACTGTGAAGTTTCAGTATGTTTTACTTGTATTAAAGCTGTTCTGACAGCTTCTCTGTGATGTGTCTAATGTTCCTCCTGTTTTCTCCCCTCAGGTGACGGCGACGATGATGAGGAGGGTCGTGAAGAGCGCCTTCCATCTTGTTACGACTACGTCATGCATTTCGTCACCGTCTTCTGGAAGGTTCTGTTCGCCTGCGTCCCACCTACAGAGTACTGGAATGGCTGGGCCTGCTTCTTAGTCTCCATCAGCGTCATTGGCCTCCTCACCGCCGTCATTGGAGATTTGGCGTCACACTTCGGCTGCACTGTCGGGCTCCGGGACACCGTCACCGCTGTGGTGTTTGTGGCATTGGGAACTTCTATTCCAGGTGAGTGAACATCCTCTTTCACTGTGTGAGAAGGTGTAGACATTGGCAAAAAAATGTATGTCCCTGTAATCATCAGCCATCGATGTATAAATCCAATTTAAGCATTTTAGGGAATAAATCACAAGACAAATACAACATTCATTTGCAAGTCTAGCAGTCATTTGTGAAGAAGATAAAAAAGAATTAAAGAAAAAGGCTGTGGAGGACAACACCTCTCTGACCCAGGCATACTGACCTGTTTGTCAAGAAATCCACAGTTCATACAATGAGATTTGAATTTCATTTACATGAGAGAGAAATTGCTAAAATAAGACAAAGCCTACACCGACACTGGGCAAACTGAAATGGATCTACATGGCCTCTCACAGGCCACAGTGTCTCTTGTTTAACCAGTTTCTCAGAGCTTTTCATTGCCAAGAAGGTGACAACATACTTGTCATTCAAGTCATTCAAGACTTTGAGGTTTTTGTTTTGCTACAGGTGCAATGATAGTGAATGATAGTTCTGGAAAGTGACAGTGAAAACGTGGTTCTTTAATGTCTCTTTTTTTTGTACTCTTATTTGTGCTTGTAGTCATTTTGTGTCTTTGTGGTAGTTTGTGTGTCTCTCTGTAGTGATGTTTTACCTCTGTGAGTTATTTTGTTCATATGCGGTGGTTTTGATGCTCTTTCTTGTTGTTTTGGGTCACTTTAGTGGTCATTTCGTGTCTCTTTGTCGTCATTTCGTATCTCTGTGGTTTGTTCCTTGTTGTTGTGGTCGTTAAGTGTCACTTTGACTCAGATTGTTTATGTCTCTTTGTTGTTGTTTTGAGTCTCTCTTTGTGATAACTTTGTGTCTCTTTGTAGTCATTTTGTGTCGGTTGGTATGAGTCTTCCTCTGGTTTGTTTTTCTTATTGGCAGTTTAGTGTCTCTTTGTAGTTTTTTTGTACCTCTTTTAGGTTGTTTTGTGTTTCTGTGTGGTTGGTTTTTATTTTGTCTTTTTGAGGTGGTTTTGTGTCTCCTTGTAGTCATTTTGAATCTTGGCTGTTGTCTTTTTTGTAGTCAAATGATGGACTTTCCTTTCAAACAGACTGTTGGGCACGGGCCCAGGGGCCCAAGGCATCTGAGCGCTCACGGGATCTGTCATTTCAGTGCTTCCCATTCATTCTATATGTAAGCAAAGGTGCAGTGCATTCTGGTAGCACCACTTTGCCACCATGTTGGTCCAGTTTAAAATCCTGGAGCAGACAGCCCACATATCTTGTGTTACACCCAACAGGCGTCAAGCGTGGGGAATGGCATGACCACTTGTGTCCAAAAATGCCCCTGTAGACATGTGCACTTTGTGGCATATAGATCCATTTAGAAGTCCACTCATGGATGCAAGGGTCCACAAGGGTTAGCATGACGTAAATTTTGTCATCTGCTCTGACACGTCTGTTAGGGTCGGCATGCAGCCTCAAATGTATCTGAATCCACGTCCGTGTTTTGGACTAAATTCACCCCAGCTACCTCTGTTTGTATGTGCACCTGTGTCAAGGTGCATGACTTAGTCTCTCTATCTCTTTCTTTAATTTCAGACACCTTTGCTAGCAAAGTGGCTGCCATGCAAGACCAGCACGCTGATGCCTCCGTTGGTAATGTCACCGGCAGCAACGCTGTCAACGTGTTTCTTGGGATCGGCGTGGCATGGTCAGTGGCCGCCATCTACTGGAGAGTCAAAGGGAAGGAATTCAAGGTGGACCCGGGGTCGCTAGCCTTCTCTGTCACACTCTTCACCATCTTCGCTTTCATCTGCATGGCAGTTCTTCTGTTCAGACGTCGGCCCTCCATTGGTGGAGAGCTGGGGGGCCCAAAGGGGTCCCGCCTCGTTACCAGCCTGCTGTTCTTGGGTCTGTGGTTCCTTTACATCCTCTTCTCCAGCCTGGAGGCCTACTGCCACATCAGCGGCTTTTAAAAAGGAAGGAAGGAAGTTCTGGAAGAATATTGCACAGCAACACACACATATACTTTAACACTCAGTCCATACAGTACACAGTTCAAAATGAGACAAGTGTAAGATTCATCTGTTTGATAGGACTCGCTGCAGCTTGGAAGTGTCCTGATCTTTGATGCAGGGATACTAAAACACTACATGTTCAAACACAAACACACACACACACACACTACTTGTACGCATGTGTAAACAGATCATAACAAATACGCACGCACAATTACAGACATGATAAAGGGCGAGAGGAAGTGTTAGTGAGGGGCAAGTGTGAATACAAAAGGTTGCTGCAGCAAAGTTAGCAGAGAGAAGACGGAGAAAGAAAGAGATTGTGAAGTTGAGATTTTAGAGGTGAAAAGAAGGTCAGGTGGGTTTAGGCTGGAGAGGAGGAGTCCTGTAGGATCAGAACACAGATAGAGAAGAGGAACAGAAACTTGTGCACACCGGACTAAATGTTTCCATTTGAGTTGCAGTACAGGAACAATACCTTTGTTTTCTGCGACAAAACCTGTCCCTCCCGCCTCTCCTCTGTATCACCTTTGTATCTTTACTGGTACAGCTTCACGGTTCTTCACTGAGGAGGAGGGGCGCTGTGTGAAAACAGGAGTGGAATGTTTACAATAACACTAAGTTTGTTTACTACAAGAGGTTCTTATAAAGTGGTGATGCTTGTCTAATTCACTGTATAGATGAAGGCGGTTCTCCACATGCGCTGTAAATAGTAAAAACCAGTGTACTGTACATATAGAGTGTTGTGTTTTCAGTAGGCAGATGATGCCTTCGACTGACGAAGTTAGAGAGGGTGGAAATTGGGTGGAATTGTCATGTTACAGTGAAAAGAAAAGGAAAAACAACAGTCAGGTCTCTGCTTCAATGTTTTTAAAATCCATACCTCCCCAGCATCCTGCGTTCCAGTCAGCTGTGTCTCTTTACCAAATGGTTTCCGTGGTAACCATAGCCCCTCTGACATAAGTTTGTATATCAAACTGATGGATTATGTTTTTGCATGTACAGCCAGATATGGAGCATTTTCACACAATAAGTCATAACTATACTATGTAAAAGGGAATGATCAGAATCCACCTGTAAATTACATCCCTGCATTTGTGTGTCAGCTGGTCCGTGATGTTAATCTTCCTGTGTAAAGCTGTGTGTGTGTAGGCAGACAGGATGGAGGAGAGAAGTTTGGTCCAAGAGGAACAAAAAGGACATTTTCCTCCTCAGAAGGACCAAATATGTTCCCCCACACACACGCGCGCCGTGTGGAGTGTAACCAAAACACACATGATAACTCTTCTCAAGGCTTTTTTCTCAATCCAGATGGACTGAAATCTGAGGACAGACACTAAACTACAGTCACTCATCACTATGTCATTATGGGTAGTGACAGACTAATCCATTAATGTGGCATGTATCCTGACAGACTAATCCCTGACCTTTAGTGACAGCAGCACGGTAACATGCATGGATGGTCAAACAAGACTTAACAGTGTTAGTTTACTTTCAAGAGTGAAGTCTCTAGAGCCAGTCAATAACATTTAAGTCGTTTAAAAACTGACAGTCATCAACATTCAGTCTACAGCATATTGATCAGGACGCAAGATCCTTATCTACACTATAATTAGGATGCAGGTTGCCAGTCTACACCATGCTGATGCTTCAACATGGCACCCATACAATGCCTTAAGGAAAACTCTCAAGTTAAAGTCTAGTATTCAAGCTTTCAGCTGTACAGAGCTGCACTTTATTTGATGTAAAACATGCTGTGTTTTTCTTTTTTTTTAGTCGACAAACTATTAGTGTGCAATACATGAAGGGACAGTCACTGGAGGAGACAGCTATGGACTGTCTGAAGTTTCCACTGGTTCAGCTGACTAATGTTACACTGAATCCAGGTCTTCTCCTTTGGCACCCAAACACCAGGAAAAATGTTGGCATTGCAGGTTTCCGCTAACCATGGATACGTTACATTTCTAAGTTACTGTGCTGCGAATACGTTAAAACTTTACATTTAAACAATGTAGTGGTGAAGTTTAGAACCAAACACCACTTGGTTTTAAATAGGAAAGATCATGTTTTGGCTCAGAATATCTGATTCTACAGTGATATCTCGGTAAAAAGCAACCGCTTTTCAGTTGATGCTCGCTGGAAAAACAGCAACAGGTCACTAAACAACACTTAAGTTTGAGGGCTAAAAAGCTCAAAAGCTTACTCACTCAACAGCAACCAGTTTTTGTGGCACTATTCTGGCATTAAACACAGCAATTTCTCCTTAAAAAACATCCACTTTTTGTGGCTCTATCAGGTGTGGAAACACAATGACGGGTTGCCAAAAACCACCCTCATTTGGGGGCTAAAAGGCGGCTTGAAACACAGCGATGTGTCGCTAAAAAAAGTGTTTTTTGTGGCATTATCCTGGCTGCAAGTTCAACGGTGTCACATTACAAAACAACCAGTTTATGTAGCATTTTCACTGGTGAAAACACAGACAGGTTGCTAAAAAACACCCACATTTAGGGGCTAAAAAGCCACTGGAAACATAGTGACAGCTCGCTAAAAAACAACCAGTGTTGTTGTTGGTCCACATCCACTATCCCCTCCTTCTCCTGATGGCAAAGTCAGCTCACATCACTTAACAAACATTGATATGATACGTATGAAACATGCAGATGTAAGGTATTCATGGTTTACAGAAACGTACAGTGCCAGCATTTTCTCCTGGTGCCTGGGTTGTATGGGAAGACTTTGTTGTGATTTGTCCCTGCACATCCATCTGTGCTTAGAGCACAATACGAGTACCAGACATGCTAAAAATTGATTCTGTACAGTGTTTAAAAGAAGTAACTTACTAAGGTCTATCATCTAATGCTCTCAGTCTGTAGGTCATCACAAAGAAAAGTAACACACACCAAGGGTTGCAGCGACGTGCTGATCACTGGAAGACTCTGTCTTCTAATCAGATGACATTTCGGCTCATCTGAATAAAAGAGAAATGCAAATGGAGCCAGAGTGCAATACTATTTTCCTACCTTATAGTCTGCAGGTCAGCAGCAGACAATGATTTGCTTTGCAGACAGCTGTCAGGCAGTCCATTACAGGTTTAAATCCAGGACAGTTTCTGTTGTCTTAGCACCATAGCATAGGGTGTTTTCACTGTAAAATTCATTAGAAAACACTGCCCCTCAGGGCATATATGTGTTGCTCAGTATTACATGGCAGAGTTGGAACACACAGTAAAATGTCCACAAGCTACTGAGACTACTGGCTGCTTAATAGACAGTTTAATAAAACAGAACCAGAACACACAACTAGAGAAGTGCAAATCAGTGAAAACTACTGCACCAGCATTTCAGTCTCATTTCTTTCAACACTGATATACATAAAGCTGAGAAGTCAGTGCATGAAAAAATCTCAAAGCAAGCAGTGAGCAGTGTGCAACATCACAGTATGATGATAAAGTAGCCAACTGTCATGTTAGACTAGAAGCATCACGAGTCCAGCATCCTTTTCTACTTTGATTCATCATGTCGACGCATCACAGTCAATGTTTTGATTACTGTAATACTCACTGCCTAATATCAGTCACATGAAGTACATTGCACTTTGTGCTGCAGGTGCATCACAAACATTTCACAAACAAATGATAAGTGCTATACAAGTGGAAATTGTCGTTATTACACATGATAATATCAGAAAGATTTGATTGGTTTACCCTTAACTAACTATACTTTGTAAACTTTCTAAAACAGATTTTGTATCTTTTCCTTGCAGATAAAGCCAAGGTAGATTTTTTTGTATTTCTAAACGATGTTTAGAATAGTATCAATATATACAATTGGTAGTGTAGATTGCATCTTAATGAATTTAGTGGATGAGGTTTTGATATATTTTCCACAGTGAGGAAGCTCCCCTTTGAACCGCTCAAACAGTGTAGTGTATCATAACCAAACAATATCCCATCTAATTTACTGATGAAGTACGTTTGTGTCTATGTTACTTACGTGTAAGATTATTTATTTAGATATTTATTTATTTAAAAGAAGATTATTTATCTATGGATAAGCTGTGCCGCAGGTCCTTGAAGCAAAAAGAGTTTAGTTCAAGGCATGTGGTTTCAATGTGCAATACAGAAAACAAAACATATTTCGTTAGTAGCTTTGACAAGAGGTCAGTTCACATCTTATTTCTGCTCCAGTGTTTGTTGTAACCCTCCGCCAGCATTCATTTCTTCATTCAGTTCTCTTGGAGGAGGAGTTTTTGAGTGTAAGTAGCATGTTTACATGAAGAAACAGTGTGGAACATTGCCAGTATAATTGTCAATCTTGGGTGGTCATGAGCTAAAGAAGGACTTTCTGTAGATATCAGTGGTGGCTGTGGGGCAGGTCGGTGCTGTCTGAGATTGTAACAGTAGCTTAACTGTAGTCTACTCACTAAACCACCAGGTGGGACCAAGAGTATACATAACACACACACACACAGATCTGCTGAACTCTTGTTTAATCTGTGACTGGGTAAAGAATGCATCAGGTTGTGTACCCAGCAGCGTTGTCCCAGCAGGTGTGACCCCGGTGTGGCTCAGCACCCAGAAACAGAACTGTCTACAATGTCCGGGCAATGTTCCATGTTTCCATGAACTTCTGTACTAACTGTCTGGCTTCGGCCTTTGCTGTTCTGTATCTAGATGTGATGCCTCCCCATCCAACCTCTCCTCCTCACCCAACCCTCCCCCAGTGTGTGTCTGTGTTTGCTTCCCCTCCGTGTTCCTCTGCAGATGCATGATGAATCCCCGTGTTCGTGTGTTAGCAGCATGGTCTACTGTGATGGACGCCAATAGGCATATTTTACCCGTGGGGGTGATTCCCCACAGTTTGAATCCCAAAAACCAGAGGCTCTTTGTGAAATAAAATGAGCACACACAGACACAACCACAACTCCATACTGAAGAGAAACATTCACACAGAGACAGCATTTATGGATTCAGTGTCTATGGCTCATTCGTTTTGTTCCCTTTAGAAGCTGTGAAAAAAGAGCGTGCTCTGTTGTGTCAAAGCTCCGTCTGCAACAAGCAACATCCCAGGTCACCTTTTTGTTTGTTGGTGTACGATATTTCTGTGTCTGTGTTAGTGTTCCCCCTCTTCTTCTTCTTCTTCTTCTTCTTCTTCTTCTTCTGCTCTCGTTCTCCCATTCGCACCCTCCCAGGTCTTGCTCTTCAATGTGTCTCTCTGTGAAGTTTTTTCCTGTGATGATTAAAATTTCTCTCTCTGCCTGAACCTTTGTAGGGAAATAATGACTGAGTTACTACAATATCATGTGATAGACATAAACATTTATTCAATACTGTAATAAATTATTAACTGAAGATGATATTTAAGTTTTTTTATGAAATGCAAAGAAAAAATCTTTGAAAAAAAAAGACAACTTGTTTTTGAGAACATGGCATGAGGTGTAATGTGTTACTGAAAGACAATGAAGGTCTTTAATTAAGTGAAATTGACCTTATTTGAATATAGTTTATTTATTTTCAAGGCTTAACGTGTCTGAGTCATTATTTTTGCACCGAATGAGCATAAAACAGTCAAACCCAGCATGGATGTCAACAGACCCTCTTTGTACCCAGCACCTGCACCATCTTTTGTAGACATTTTACAGATTATATAACTCTTAAGTTTTAAATTAATTAATGTTAGCTGACTGCAGTCTAAGTGTTCACTATGCAGAAAAAAATCAACACAAATTTCAAAACATAAAGCAAATAGAGCAGTGGACTTGGCATGAGCAAAATTTTAAGAAAGATAAGGAGAAAGCAAAGAAAAATATCAGGACATCCGACCTTTGACCGGGCTTTTTGACTTTCAATATGCAACATTAAAAGAATAACTTAAAGACTTGGACATACTTTCAGCATTGAATGTCCATGTACATCTGCAGTCACACACGCGCAGTTGTATTTATAGTATAGAGGCTCTGCGTCAGCCCCCAGCAGTAAATGGGAGTGCTGGGAGGTGAGCTTACTGCCCTCCTACTGCTGGTGTCGTGTGAAACTGAAACTAAGTAGACGCTGCTGGGTCTGGAGTGAATGTCTGTCAAATATCCAACTTCAAAAATAATTCAACCGTGGTGCAGCAGCTGTGGCTGGCCCAACCGTAGTATTTTTGATTGGCCTAGAGTTTGGAACAAGAGAATGGGGCTTGCACAGTTGCAAAAAAAAATGTAAAAAAAATTCAAAAAATTGGCTGCATGCGGACGCCTGCATAAGGATCTGTGAGGACCCTCATGGACATGGGTGGATGACAACATTTATGTCACACGGACCAAAGCCAAATCCACGTCTGCATGTCCATGAGGGTCTGCTTGGGTCCGAGTGATGCAAATGTCATCATCCACCCATGACTGGAAGGGTCCATACAGACCCCTATGCAGATGTCTGCATGCTGCCCATTTTTTCTGACTGTACAGAATGTACTCATTGCAAGCTCTTTAACAGCACATGTTCCAATTGGCCTTAAAGGCCCTAGAGCCAATCCACAGTTTATGCATCTGCCAGAACACAGCTGTCCACAGATATTCAATGTGTAGAGAGTGTATGAGCCTTAATTTTAGAAACTGTGACTGTAGAACCCCCTGACCCTGTGTCTGGTGGGCCCATTCAGTAATCACTCTATCCATCAAACACACAACCACACACACACATCATGATCAGGACCCATAAGAAGAGCATTTTTTCATATCTGGGTATGAGCATAGGTGCCAAGGGGAAGGCAAACTGACTTCATTTTCATTTACCACAAAGAATATCTAATATTATTCTGCGATGCAGCTTGAAGCTGAATCAATTAGTTGATAGACAGAAAACCATTTGGCTGCAACTTGAGAGTAATAACGAACAGACATTCTCTGGTTTCAGCTTTTCAAATGTGAGGATTTGCTGCTTTCTTCCACAGACTCCAGCTCTTTGGTTTAATGTATTAATATTCTGGGCCATTGCAAATATAATTGCCCATGCTGCCATTTATAACTTTAACTATAATCTGGGAGGACAAGTGCACAAGCACAGGTGTTCATACTGATGATTTGTATTAATGTGTTTACTGCCCTCCAGTGGTCCATGATTACCTCAACATTTAATGGTGCAGGGATTCATGTTTTTTATGATAACAAATGGTACATAAAACAATCATTATCTTCACTGAAGAATGTGGTGTTGGTGTTTCCAGGGGTGGAACATAACTAATTACATTTACTCAAGTGCTGTACTTGAGTACAATTTAAAGGTACTTTACCTGAGTATCTCCAATTTATGCTACTTTATGTCTACTCAACTACATTTAGGAAGCCAAAGCTTTAATTCCTCTGCAGAATCAGATTATTGATACAAAATTGTAAATCAGCTAATTATTATGATGTATTATTATGATGTATTATTATGAATTAAGCAACCCAGCAAAGTGTTTAAAAAATATAGAAATTAGCCACACTTTGACCAGCTGAAACTTTAAAGTGACATACACATAAATGCATACATCTATAATTATAATCCAATAATATTATAGACATTATTCTGAAATGGGTCATCCCGCATAATGATTACTTTTACTTTTGGTATTTTAAGTATATTTTATGGTAATATGTTCGTGCTTTTAATCGAGTAAGATTTTGAATGCAGTACTCAGAGTTTTTCCACACAGTTGTGATGCTATTTTTACTTAAGTAAAAGATGTTATTATTTCTTGCACACTGAGTATCCTGAGTATTTTCAACTATGACCGATAATAATAAAAATATGAAAATATGAAAAAAAAATGTGCAAGTATCCACCGGAAGTGCGCCTTTTAAGTCTCAGTGCGCAGATGCGGAATTGACGCGGTTAGGTCGTTTCTGGTGGTTAACCCAGTCAATGTGGGAGACTCGGTAATGTCCATGAAAGAGGCTATTTAGCGAGTAAATTCCGCAAGAAACAGTCGTTATTTGTTGAAGGACCACTTCAGGCTTCTGTTTGAAGCGGCTGAGTTTCACCTCTGCGTGGAGCTGAATCAGAAATCATCGGAGCCGCGGGAGAAGGTAAGGTTAGCCAACGCGTGCTGTCGCCATTGTTTATGGGCAGGCGGAGAGCAAGGCCTTCGGCTAATTCCGGGGTATAACCACCTCGATACACACATTGAACACATATTTTGCATTTTATTTACATAGTTATCAAGGGAAATGTTTGTACTCTTAAAATTAGTTATTCAGCGAAGGATTAGTGAGCTTGAAATGACACAGCTTTATGATCCCGTTGGCCGCAGGTAAGCTAACATTAACGTTGTGTAGTCGATCCGCGCGTATCTCTAACGTTATTCAAGTGGACAGCAGTGTGTCCTCAGCTGATATCACATACCGATAAATACCCATCACAGCAGGACTAAATAGAGTGTGGATTGACTTTAATGAAACGTGCCCGGTTAATAAATAACCCAGCGGCTCTGTATTTACCAGGTTATGGCGACGGTTATTTAAATAATATTAATCAGTCGTCTCTGTGAATGGAGTTGATTCAGATGACTTGTACCTTGAACATGGCGAACAGGACGAGACCGATCATGGTTTTAAGAGGTTTCAGTGGGTGTTTGGCGCGTTAACAGGCGGTAGGACCAGTGTGGCGCTGTTGCACCTGCTGAGCTACCAAACAATATCTTTCCAAGCACCTTTTCCCACAGGAGTCCTTCAAAACCCCAACCAGCTCGATGATTTTGTGTTGCTGACAGAGAGCTTCGACCTAACTAGTGGCACGGAAATTAGGTTTTCTCTCCCACAGGGATCAATAAGGGAGATTCTGGTGCTATATTAATCCCAGCGGGAAACTGTACCAATACAGCTGCTTCGAGCAAAAAACACAAAGATAATGTGCTCACAACTATAATAGACTTATCATCAATATCTTAAAAAAATCGGACTTTTTACTGTACATATATGCACCTGTAATGCTCTGTAGTAGTAGAAAAGTAAAGCCTAGTGAGATGGTCATAGTGCAACATTAGATGCATGTAAACTAAAGTTGTAGTACACTCTTTGATCATATAATTGAAAGATGTTAAATCGTGTGAGTCTAGGGTCTCTCTAGAAGGAAATGTAAAGTCTAAAACCAGCAGCTTATCAGCTATAGTTGTATGTGCATACGTTGCTGTAGACAAAATGATCTGCAATGAAGTAAATGTATTGTTTACTGGGCCACCGACTATATCCTGTCATCTTAATTGTGGGACTACAACTTATTTTCATAATTTATTATTTTCAAGTTTACAAAATGTGAGAAAATTGGGGAGTAATTTTATGTCACTTAAGTTATTAATTAATGGTCTAATTGTTTCAGCTCTAATTTATGCTCATTCCCCCCTTTTTCCAAACAGGTAAGGAGAGATGTCGTACTACAACTCCCGTAGTTCATCTCGGGCCACTGACTGTAAAGTGTACGTGGGTGATTTAGGCAATGGTGCTGCCAAGGGGGAGCTGGAGCGAGCATTCAGTTATTATGGCCCACTGAGGACCGTCTGGGTGGCCAGGAACCCACCTGGGTTTGCCTTTGTGGAGTTTGAGGATCCCAGAGATGCAGAAGATGCTGTGAAAGGCATGGATGGAAAGTAAGTAGTAACCTTTTCTTTCCTTTTTCCAGTAGTTCTCCATTTTGTTCTTCCCATAAAAGGATGGAGCAGAAAAGATGACCCACTACACAATAGTGTTACAACAGTGTTTAGCCCTAAAATCCTGTGCGTTACCCTGTAATAGAAAAAGAAATTTAAATAGCCTAATACGAAGGGACTTAAGATACAAAGATGTAATAAATCTAGATTTTTTTATTCTTGCAGCCGGCATGAAGACCATAGCAGGACAAAAAAAAAACAGTCTTTGGCCTCTCTTACTGACCTTTTTCCCCTCAGGGTCCTTTGTGGTTCCCGTGTTCGTGTGGAGATGTCAACAGGCCTCTCCAGGAAGGGCCGTGGGCGCCCCAGCCGACGCCAGTTTGACCCCAATGATCGGTGTTACCAGTGCGGGGACCGGGGCCACTATGCCTATGACTGCTATCGCTTCAGCAAGAGAGGAGGCCGCCGCAGCAGCAGGTGATGGAATACAGTCCATTTTGCTTGTAGTTATGACTGATAAGATTAACTTTATCAGTGCAGCTCAACATTTATTGCTCTGATGCAAACAGTACTTGTTATCTTGCACCATCAAGGACAGAAGTGTAAACTTGTTTGTGTTTCTTTTCCAGGTCTCGCTCTCGTTCTCGATCTCGCTCCAGGTCCAGGTCCCGTGGGCGCCGTTATCGTTCTCGCTCTCGCAGCCGCAGCCACAGCCGGTACGTCACCACAGACAAGTGGTTGCTTTTGATTTTCAATTTTTTGGTGCTTTGTACATCAAACCAAATGTATTTGAAACAGAATGTTCTGGTGTGAGCAATGGAGGAGCCAACCATAGCAAATCTCACTGATTATATCAGATTAACAAAGATTAATATCTAAATTGATAACTAACTTTGCAAATAAGAATCAGCTGGTCCTTGGTTTAGAAGCTGTAATTGTGCCCATTGTCGTATTAATATTTTTATTAACATGCACACAGCTGTTTTATTTTGAATAATAAATTTTAAGTAGTTACACTTTGTCATGTTTATTCATGCCAGCCAGGCCAACAGATGACCCCTCTGTTTATCCTTTTTGTCTCTCTTTTACTTTGTCAGGAGCCGTCGCCGATCTCCATCCTATTCCAGGCGCAGGAGCAGGTAAGAATACAGTTTGCGAAATTATAAGTAACTGTTATGATAATACATTCATTTGTGTGCTTTCGGTATTGTTATGCCGTCATGTGACAGATGTAGCTACTCGTCTTGTGTTAATTCAGTTCTGCAGCAGAGGCTAACTGAGGACAGAACAGATGAGTAGTACATCCTTCAGGGATCAATTAAGTACATGTGCAGTGTGTGTGAAATTTTTTCAGCCTTGCTCTGGTAGTTAATGCCTCAGGTGTTGCCATCGTTCCCACCATAGTTATAATTAAATCCACTTTATTTCCTGTAATACTAGGTCTGGCTCCCCAGCACGTTCCAAGTCCAGGACTCCAGTGAGAAGGTAGGTTCTGAAAGCTGCAAGTTTACACACCATCATTACACAGCTTGTATCTGAAACACAGTGTCACATTTAGCAAACCACAGTGTAAACAAAACACAGAAATTCAGGAAACAAACTACAACATCTACAATAAATAAGAAAGAATTTGGATTGGTCGGTCCAAATAAATGGGACAGTGACAAGATGGTCAACTATATTACGTGAAATGAAGAGGAAATTATTTTCCAATGATCTGCAAGAGGATCTCTTTTTACGGCAAACCACTGAAAGAGAAAACTTCCTGACTCCATTTTGGATCAGCCAGTCAGCATGGATGACGTGCAGGTCAGCATGTTGAGATTTTGGGAGCTGTGCACGTCTGTGAGCCTCTGCAAGCTACCCATAACACCTGTATCTGCTTAGGTTTGCCAAGATGTCTTTATGTATCTCAGCAGAAGCATAATATCAGCCTTTTCGTTCAATAGAGAAGCATGTAAATGTTGTTTTTGTCTCTCTTCTCCAGTCGTTCCAGATCTCGTTCTCGGTCCGGCTCTGCGCCCAGAGGACGCTCTGTCTCCCGATCCCGCTCGCGATCGCAGTCTGCCACTCACAAGAGGAACAGGTAAACCCTCAGTCTACATGTCTCTCATTCACTGAAACAAGGTGTAGGCTGTGAAGTCAATTTCTAGTGCTTAGTCCTGACAGTTGTTTTTACCAAGACATTAGCAAGGTCTAGATTATTATTGTAGAATTTAGATATCACAGTTCAGACCACAACTATCTTGCGTTCCAAGAGAGGGCCAGTTATGTTCTTGACGTTATTCAGAACTAGGTGCTCATCGTAGGCAGGGATGACTTTGAAATAGGCTCTCCTTCGCTGGGGAGCATTGTGCTGCCACCGAACGACTGCCACGTGAAGGTGAGATGGACGACCACTGAGACTCCTCCAGCTCCTCGACTCAGAGAGATCTGCATCTTCTACTGCGTCTCTTCTGCCACTGCTGTTGGCCAGCAGTGGCATGGCATGGCGTGGCGGAGGGGTAAAGGACAGTGACTTGGGCCCTTTGTCTGGTGTAGGGAAGTATGAGTAGATGACAGATTAGACCTCTCTCTTGTGCTCTTTTTCCAACTCTTGGTAGCTCTACACTGTTTAACATCTTATTCAGTCTCGCGTAATCTTGAAAAAAGAGCACATGAAAGACAGTCTCCACTCAGCCTGTAAACTGTTCAGACTCACAGCAGCTAAAAATGCACCCATATCCTTTGTACTCTTTCATCTCACCCACCCTAGGTGAAGCTCGATTCTACAGAAATGAACTCAGGCTGACAGACCAAGAGAGAAAATTGTATTTAATGAATTGACAAGTGTTAATGGTCAGAGGTAGTCTTGTAAATGTTTTTATTTTTCTTCAATTTAAATTCCCTATCCTGAATTTGGCAACTCTCCAGAAAAATATTAGCTGTTATCAGACAAAACGACACCATTGGTGTAACTTAAGTTAAGCATCTTTGCAGCACAGTTTTGTTTATTTTTCATATTTTCTTTAAAGTGGTGGGAGCTGAGCACTGCACTGACAACGCAGATCAGCCTTCGCCTGCATCTGGTGTTAGACAGCGAGAAAGAGGTCGACCTACCGACCGAACCCGCCCAACAGTGAATGGGTGACCGTCTGTTCAACCGACGCACACGCTCAGACGAGATCAGCCCGCGCACACATACAGTTGCTCTACTAGAATCACCCAGCCAGCCAGCCAGCCTTCAGATGTACCAGAGGGCTGACCCACACAGATCAGAGTTCGACCACTACCTTTTTAAATCCATTACCTACCTACCAGACCCCCTACCTACCAGAGTTCTTCGGCCTCTGTCTTAGCTTCTGAAAGTGAGAGAAAGAGAGCTGACGAGAGATCAGTCTTCAAGAGCCTCCCAGCGCAGTGTCTCTCCAAGTTGTAGTCATCCGTCCTTCAGTCCTTTCATCCTTCGCTTCTCTGTACTTGTTGTTTCTGCCACTGTCTCCAAAGGTAACCAAAAATCAACCCCCCTGACAAGCTCATGTTCATGGTGAAAGAAAATGCACAGGCTTGATGTAGTCTGGAAAACTGGTGATTATAGAGCTAAAGTTGAGCCTTTAACAAGCATGCTCAGAGTACAAATGTGAGTGTGTGTGAGAGTGTGTGGATGATCGAGAGAGAGCAAGATGAATATTAATGGGCTGTTAGCTCTGAGGAGGCTTTGTCAGACATGTTTTTCCTGTTGTGCCATATATGTTGCAACATTATTACCATGTTAGGATGCTTTGTCATTATAGTGTTTATTTTAGTACTCAAACTCAGTACAACAATAATGGTGGCTTTCAGATGCGCACTTCTTGGTTGGTGCTAGAATTGATGGGATGGGGGAGGGAAGCTCTGTTGTGCGCTCTGCTGTGATTGACAGGGTTCCCACAATCATGGAAAATCTGGAGGAATGGAATTTCACAATCTCATTTTCCAGGCCTGGGAAAGTCATGGAATTAGTAAAATCATTAAAAGTTCTGGAAAAGTCCAGGAAATTTTGTCGTGTGTAATAAAATCAATTGTTACAGTAATCTTTTGGATAACCTTCTACATAATGTAACATAATGGCCACTTTATTTTCTGTAACTGACATAATGCAGCTTTAATATGTGCCGTTGTTATGTTTTGTTTACCATCACATACATTTCTTCATTTTCACGCCGCATTCAGTTTCTTCCTCAATGTATGCCAGCCAGCTGGAATTATGTTTGAATCTGATATGTTTGAAGAGAAACATCATGTTATGATTGAGGGATTTAACATGGAGGGTCATGAATCCCAGAGTTTCCATACCTACGCTATGGCTCACTACTACTATTGAATTGTATTCTTTTTTGGGATGGGGCGATATTCACAGCCAAGACACTTTTTCTGCTGCCATTTACTGGTAGTGTTAATTATCACAGAACATCATATTTCATAAACTCTTCATGTATGTTTTTGTTTTTAAAAGTCTGGAGGCTTTACTGGGGCGGGAGAGGAAGTCATAGCAGGTGAGAACAGAGCCAGGGACTGCAGAGCATGTTGGAGGCTCAAAATCCATGAGTGGGTGGATACTGAACGACCGCCAACAGTGCGCACTCGACTGGACAGGGACTCCACAGACCTCCCTCCCTCCCTCTGTTTCTCCAACATGCTAAGCAGGCCCTGGGTATCCTCTTACCCACTATGACTGCCTCTACAGCCCTGGTAAAGTCTTTAAATTTAATGCCCCTGCTCCCCAATTGTTTGTTCACAATGATAGGACGAAAAATGTTTGGCGCTCTTATCACAGTGGGACACATTATAAGGCATTCCTCCCCCCGTCCCTCCAGACCATCCATTTTAGCACCAACCTCATTTCTCTGGTTATGGTATAGAACAGTTTCCATCCATTTGTGACCCCCGCCCACTCTTCTTGTGTTTAGTCATCAAAGGATTAAGTCCTAAATTTCTCCTCAGTGCAGAAACTATGCTAATTATGTGTTGTGGGTATGTCAAAAACCAGTGTCAGTTATTTGAATGGGTGTCTTCTCACCCCGAGGGGTTCAATTATGAAGTTAGCTTTTGACCCTGAACAGTTATTTCTTTGAAAGATTAGCTGCCTTATACAAATATGCCACTTAAAGACAGATAATAATAATTGTGGCTCTTAGGATAAACTTTGGTCTGAGAGGTCAAAGAGGTATTCGGCACCCATCCAATTATGAACTTTTTCTAAAGGTCTAAACTGTGTTAAGATGTTAAGTACTGTAGAATTTTGTGTCTGATCATTTATCCATTCTCCCCTGTGGCAAGCTAACTCTTCACCATTTCTGTTTCAGTCGCTCCCGTTCAGCAAGTCCACACCGAAGCCCTACGCCAGCGGACGACTGAGTGAAGAAGACATATTAGTTCCTTAACAGACAGACCCTCAACCCCTGCACCCTGTCTGCTTTTACAGCCCTACAGCAGGTTTTTTTTCTTGTACTTGTCTCATCCCAGTATTGTTTAAAGTTTAATTTTCTCCCCAGGACTGTTGTCTTCATGCAGCCTCAGGTTGTTGAAGTCTGTTTAGTGCACAAAAAATCAGTTTCCTTTCGACAGAGGTTGTTTTAGGTGTTGCTGCGGCTGTGTCTTTCTTCTCTGGATTCGCATAACAAGTGTAAGAAGCATCAATCTCAATGTTGCCGTTGACTTTTAGCAGTGATTTGAGCAGCTCGTACATTAAATTTTCAGTGGAAGACAGCCCACTTGATGCAGTTCTTGAGGGTGAAGACAATGCATTGAAAAACTGCTTTTATTCCCTAACACACATGAAAATCTCTCCCCATTGAGAAACGGTAATCAGTTTTTCTGTATAGCTCTCCAATTAGATTTTTGAGTTCAAATGTTGTTTAACCTTTAGTCATGATGGCAAAAGGAGGTAGTTGCTGGCCTGCATGCCTTTAAATAGGATGTCGCATTCCTACTGTCTGTTGTTTCTGTACTGCACTGCCCCTTTTATGAACCTGATCACCTTCACTGTGTGCTGAATATGTTTTCCCCATGTGTTAGTCTCAAATTTGTTCCAGTGATTTTTAATTTGTGCTGAAGTTTGATTTCTGCAAGGGCTCCTCCAACAGTTTTGATGTGTTCCTGGCTTATATGGTAAGACAGTGGCAGTTTTATTTTTGAATAAACCTCTTCAACATACCTCAGTGGTCTAATTTTATTTCACCCAAATAAGTTTATTTTGTTGTGTAACATTGTTTTTGCATTTGTCCTGATAATCCCAAATGTCACTGTGAAAGATGTCAAGGTATCAGCAATTTTTTATAAGATATTTTTACCGTAGGTGTCATGTTTTGTTTTAATTGTTGTAATTCTGTGCAATTAGAAAAAGGTTTTAAATTACAGGCGTCATTAAGAACGGCATCACAAATTTCAGGTATTTGTGGTGATGGTTTGCTGCGAAATAGCTTTACAAGTGGGACTAACACAAAATACACTCTGGAAGGCACCAAATGAGAATCACCATTACTGGCCTAGGAAGTGGTCAGCAGTTCTTCCATGCTCTCATTGTAAAATACATACAAATGGAAATGCGTGACAGTTAAAAACAGGGACTGCAAAGCTGAACAAAAGTCAAATGTTTAACTATGTACAGATGTATAAAAAAAAGTACATATATTTATATATATATATATTTTTATAAGCGAATATACTGATTATTTTTCAGGATAATCGGGTACGGAGACAACCTCTTGAGTTAAGTGTTTTCCTATTGGCCACAACTAAAGTCACGGATAGACTGACAACTGCGTGAGCCAATGACAGCGCGCGGTGCCGCTTTACAGGGCGTGGCCACGGAGCCTCGTTTTTCTTGACTTTTCCGTCCATTTCAGTTCATCGTCACTACCACCATCCTTTTTAACCGGGACAACATGGCTGCTACAGCGAGCCGTTACTACAGCGAAGACGGCAGGGCAACGAAACGACAGAAAACCGACGGAATGGCCACGGTGAGTTTTTTCTGTGTGGGCTTCAGTGGAGGATTAGTTTAAGTTACATAACGAGCGCGCTCGGCTCGGTTACGGTGCTCGTGGTTGAATTTGATTCATTCAGATGCGCGCGTGGAAAAAATGTGTCACGACGCGTCCGAGGTCAATAAATAATGTTTGTGTGGAGGCTCATCGTGCATAACTGTTGTTTTTACGAACGTTTCACGTATATTATACATGGAGGGTTTACAAGGACACAACTTGAAACATGGAGAGCACATATACCTGTGCTGTGCTGACTCAGTGGGAACGTTGAGGGCGGTTTCCCCCGGTCGGGCCTCGCCTGAGCCCGGCTTTGTTCTAGTGCCGGTAACGGCTAGCACTGTGCTAGCTGTAAGCTGCTCATTGTGATTAGTCTGGGCAGCGTCACAGCAGCCGTGTGAGGTAGCACTTGAGTCTTAATGTGCATGAAGGTTTACTCAAATCGATATTGTCTTTATAGTCGGAGAGAAGCGTGTTAATTAAACTATAAACTAATAAATGGCAAATACTGCCCCCTCCCCCAACAATAATCTGAGGTAATTAACTTAAGTATGTCATGTCAGGGCAAATGCAGAACAACAAATGAGCAACATAATGTGTGATTTCTGTTTTTTAAAACCGTTACTTGTTATTAACAAAGAATGTGATTCACCCATTCAGAGGTGGAAGAAGTAGTCACATCCTTTCTTTAGCTTTTCAAGTGCCAGTACCACACTGGAAATACTCCATTACAAGTAAAAGTCTGCATTTAAAACTTTAAGGAAAGCATGTAAGTATTAGCAGAAATACTTAAATTGCCAAAAGTGAAAGTAACCATTGTGTGTAGTAATTATCTTTTTTTATTATTATATACGATGCCTTTTGATTTAAATTACTGCTGCATCAAAGTGTGTGTTGCATTTTACTGCATTAGATGTTTATAGTATACAAAGTACAGTAGAAAGTTGCATAAATTGGGGTGCCTTGCGTTTGTTCTTGAGTACAGTACTTGAATAAATATATTTGGTTACATTTCCGTTACTGCCCTCCTTTATTTTCTTTCATTAATTTCTATGGCAGGGACAAAAACGTGAATATTATTTTTTAATTCCTGTCCCTCCCTAAATATCTGTTAAAAAGTTCATATACACCCCAATAAATATGCTCAAAATAGCACAGCACGCATCCAGTAATAAATATTTCCATAATATAACACATGGTAGTTTGCTATACTACTTATAGTACTACCTGTCTATACCTGCACACACCTCAGGTTACAGTTTTTTCCCCACCACACCAGTTCACCACAGTGGTTTTATTTAATTCTATACTTTATATAGGCTTATGTATATTAAATTTTAATTCTATTTAAACCTCTGTACTATTTTGTCATGGATTCTCATTTTTATTTGCATGTTCTTTTATACAGATTTTGTAGTAGCTTTGTTGGAGAGAGCCAGACAACAAAGATTGTATTGCCAGCGACTGCTTTTCTGTTGCTGTGGTGCATGTGACGAAAAAGGACTTGAAAATACAGTCAGTGTTAAATATGTTGTAAAATATCGCAAGAAATAGCAGAGGACAGTTCAAGATGGACAACAAGATTGCAGCAGTGGCTCCCACACATGTGTACTTGAGATAAGACGAGTGTAAATATTACTGACCATGTTTGCTCATTTTCTGTTTTCCTCAACATAGGGATACGAAGATCCTCACAAGACCCTTCCGTCTGTGGTGGTGCACGTCCGGGGGCTGGTGGATGGTGTAACAGAGGCTGACCTTGTAGAGGCCTTGCAAGAATTTGGAGCAATCAGGTAGAGGAAGAGAACAAGCTTAATTTGTGTGAAAATGCGCGCACACACACACACACACGTATATATATATATATATTAAACTTTGTACCTTCAGGTGAAATGGTTGCAAGACGAGTTCACAGTATCTGCCATTTCATCTAATCTCTTGTTGTTGTTTTCTCTTGTAGCTATGTCGTGGTGATGCCCAAGAAGCGCCAGGCACTGGTCGAGTACGAAGACATGAATGGATCATCCACAGCTGTAACCTACGCTGCGGACAACCAGGTTTACATCGCTGGCCACCCAGCCTTTATCAACTATTCCACCAGCCAGAAGATCTCCAGGCCGGGAGACTCTGATGACTCCAGAAGTGTTAACAATGTACTTCTGCTCACCATCATGAACCCCATCTACCCCATCACCACGGTAAATGCGAAGATTTGCGCTACTGTTTATCTCTTCACTAAAAGTGGGGTGCTTCTCTCATTTTATGATGATGTGTTTTTAATTCTTAAAGAGTAGCAGTGCCACTGTAAGGGCTGCATTTTGTACCAGGTTGAAGGGGATGAAATGTTAGTATTAGTAGTATTAAGCAGAAGCCTTTGTACAAAAAACAGTTAGCTAATGTTGTCTCTGCAGTTTGATCCATGCAGCATTGTTGTGCTCGCTGTGATTTATCATTTGCCATTGTGTGGTATCTATATACTGACGAACTCAACTCCCTTTTTTAACCTGGTACATTTTGACAGGATGTCCTCTACACCATCTGCAACAACTGTGGGCCTGTCCAGAGAATCGTCATCTTCAGGAAGAACGGTGTCCAGGCGATGGTTGAATATCCTTTTCCATGAGTGCTATTTTAACAGGAGGCACTATCTGATTGCTGACTACCAGATTTGCCACAACTTTACAAACATTACGTGGCCCGCTGGATTTTCTGCAAGTTGTGACACGCATAAAAAGAACAGTGGCTGGTGTAGTTGAATGACAGGAACTTCTTTGGTATGTTATGTCAGTTAGAAGCGCCTAATCTCAGGTACAACCAAACCTGTTTGAAAACATGTAGGTGTATTTCACAGATGCAAATAATAAAACCCTGTTAGCCAGAGTTCATTGGTGAATGGCTCATGGCATCTGTTAACCATGAGTAGGCTTATGCACATGCAGGCATTATGGGTACCCGATGAAAACCATTAGTGGTCGAAACTTAATCATAACCCTGTAGAATTACAGAGGAGCTCGGAACAACATACCTGTGTGCAGGTATTCTTTTTTTTTTTTTTTTTTTTTTTTTTTTTTTTTGTTCTTGTGTGACGTCTGTTAGTCTGCATTATCCTTCCTGTCATAAAGACAGTCTGGTACATCCCTGTCTTGTCCTTAACTCTATCATTACGTTCGACTCTGTGCAAAGCGCCCAGCGAGCCAAGGCATCACTCAACGGAGCAGACATCTACTCTGGCTGCTGTACACTGAAGATCGAGTACGCCAAGGTACAGTCGCAAAACAGCCAGTTTTAATAGCCAAAATGAGTGTGGTGGACACAGAACAGCATAAACACCTGCACAGTATAACACACACCCAACACATTAGCCCTGTGAGGAATGTTCTGAGTAGACAACTTGCCCCATGACAGCTTAATTAACACAAGTTTTTTTTTAACTGCAACACTGTAAACATGGTATATCTGTTTACCAAAATGGCCCCATCTCAATTTGTCTGTATATGGAGCAACTTCATGGTAAACAAAATGAACATAGTGTGAACATATATCTATATATCTATACTTTTACTGTGTGTATTTATGCTTGTTTTTATAAAAAAAAATTATTTCCTCAGCCCACTCGCCTGAATGTGTTCAAGAATGATCAGGACACCTGGGACTACACAAACCCCAATCTGGGAGGCCCAGGTAAAACCTCAAACACCTTAACACATTCCCAACTGTTTGCTGAGCACCACACACTGCTAAGCATCCTTACTGCCACTATGGGGAGTTTCAGCAACACCTTCATTGATAATGCTACTATATAGATTTAATTTGTGGTCATTATACTAATATAGGTTTTTTGTGATGAACCTGTGTGGCATTATGACTGAAGTGTTGCTTGTGGTCTAATTCTTACACTTTTCAATACACACTGATCAGGGTCCATATGCAGGAGTGAAAAGTCTGGGGAAATGAGGGCTTCATGTGAATAATAATGTTAGATAAAAGGGCTTGCATAATATAACATTTTCACTAAACTGTTATTTAGGCCAAAAGCATTCAGTCAAATTCACCTTCAACATTTATTTATTGTGCATTTTGTCTCTTTCTTGGTAAATTACACTGGTTGTAGGGAGGCATAGAGGGAGACAAAGAGGCATAGAGAGAGACAAAGTGAAAGTGAAAATGGAAA